CTCGGACTCTGGCCTCCCTTGTGTCCGTGCCTTCACCCTAGCTGTGCCCCATGATTGGACGCATCCCTTTATTGCCTTAAGTAGCAGAACCATAGGCTCCCTCTCTTCTACAATCTGCTTGCATGCCTTTTCTGCATGAGACTCTCCCTGCTTTCCCCGGCTGCTAATGCCCTCCCTCGACCAGCCTCATCCCGTTATCTGGTATTTGTTTTGTGCTCATTGATGCACATGTCAGCTCCCCTCACGGCATGGAAGCTTCTCCAGAATGGGGGCTGCTTGGTCCTGTGTTTTTTGTCTCCCTGAGGCCTGTCATGGTGCCTCGCACCGAGGTGCATAATGAATGCTTTTGGGTTGGTTGGGATCTCCTCCCAGCATTGCAGGCGGATGACTCATCTGTTATGGGGGCTGCTGAGTGGTGAGGGAGCTGTGGGGGGGGGGGTCCTCAAAGTCTTGGTGCAGTTTGGAGGCTAGCTTATAAATATTATCGTATCTAACGTCACCATATGTTCATATAGCAGAGGATCCTCTACCAAGACATGTTGTCATTAAAAAGGCTGGAACTATTCCTCCACATCTGAGAGGAGATTTCCCAGAATGCTCTCTGATGGGCTGTGCCCCCTCCCTGGCCACCCTGTTGCTTTGCTGTGTCTTTCCTGCTCAGTAAGTTCATTTGTTGCTGTGACTTCATTCATTAAGCTTCCAGCCTTGTAGCATTGTAGGCTGTGTTCTCTGCACTAGGGATGGGCTTTCAGGGCCAAGCCAAGTCACTTAATCAAAGTCCATATAGTTCTTTTCACACCTTCTACTACCTGAGTTACTCAGCATTTCTCCTCTTCTGATGTTTATCCTTCAGTTTAGAGGCAGCTGAGGCACAGAGGACAGAGCTGGGCCTCATTCAAATCTGGCTTTAGACACTTAATAGATGTATGACCCTGGGCAAGTCACTTTACTACTGGCTGCCTCTGTTTTCTCAGCTGTGAAATGGGAATAAGAGTAGCACCTGTCCCCATGGTTCTTGTGAGGGTCAAATGAGAGAAAAATTATAAGCATGCAGTAGGTGCTTCCTTTCTAATCTCCACACACACACACACACACACACACACACACACACACACCCACACTGCTGCCCCCGGCCCCCCGAAAATACTTATGTTTCTCTTTCCAGGACACAAGCCTTTATGTCCATTGGCTACCTTTGTATCTTTTAAGTAATTTTTGGGCAAGGCATTTTATACCTTCTGAAAGTTACCATTTAGCTTTCTAGGTTTGTTGTATAGATAAAAATAGCAACCCAGAGTAAAAAGTTTTAGGAGTAGATTACCGTGCTAAGCTTAGTTATTTTTGACAGTGAGATGTTAAAACGTCATGGTACCATTAAATTTCTCAGTTAGTCATTTTTGTGTAGAAACATGTTACATGTTTTTGTGTTTTAGTCACGAAATGTTTGGACATGAGTTGTGGCTGAATAGCTTCCTTATTTGCACTAATTTTATGAGTATTTTTGTCCCTTAAATAGCTTGGATTTAGCCGACCTGTTATGGTGATTTAAAATAATTCAGCTTGTCAGAATGTGTGGTGGAACCGGCTGTTTGTGCTGCTGCCAGGTGTTTCTGATGAGATTCAAATAATCATGGCTGTGAATTCACCTCTCCGTTGAGAAGAAACTACATTTGAGTCAGATCTCCACAATTGAATTTTTCTTTTCCAAGCTTCGTCTCACCCAAGGAAGCTCTGAATTCAGATCTTGCTGACTCCAGGCCAGGACTTTGTCCCCTGGCCCACCAGCTGCTTCAGCACAGTCAGGTGGGAAGCTCCAGGGAGGCTTGCCAGCCCCAGGGAATCCCTCTGCCATGTGGACTTTGTACTGGTATCTTTAGTGACCCTGAGAAATCCCTTTGAGCACGAGCCTTTCCATTTCAGCCTTATTTGTTATCACCACTCAGATCATCTAGCAAAGTTCAGTATCGTCAGATCTGTCACGGAGTTTTGTATCGTTTCTAAATCTCTGCTTGGAAGACAGCAGGGATTTCAAGGCTGGGTTTTACTCAGTCGAGTCATCCTTTTTTTGGTAGTTACTTGTTAAGACGTAGCCACATTCTGTGTTCTCTCGATGACTCAGTAGGTGGTCTGCTGCTGGAACCTTCTCAGCAAGCCTGCCCCTCTCCTTTTCAGGAAAAGCACCCTGCAGGCAAGCACAAGCTCTTCTCCAAGATTTCCTAATGATGAAGAGCAGGCTTCTAGTGGGCACTTGCTTCTCTTCCTCTGTGCCCTTGTGTTTCTCTCGTTAGTGAATCGGAGTCATCTTCGACGTGGTGGCTAATTGATAATAGTTGGCAGCTCTTTGTTCCTGTCCTCAGAGGGCATCCACTTTCAATTAAATGATGGTCGTGGTAAGGATTGATAGAGATGGAAGTGCTCTGAAGCTGTTTTTCCGTGACTTGGTGTTAATCAGTTCCATACTGACATTATTCTAAGGCTCTCCAGACTTTAAAAATATCTATTAAGCTGCACGCCAGTTTTAGTGCCTATGTGTAGATTTGGCTTTGAAGGAATGAAACAAAAAGATATTCTGTATTCTTCATGGAATTGAGGGTAAGAGCATTGAGGTAACAAATTTTGTTGTTCAAAGTAACAACTTAAAAAAAACCTATACATAATAATAATAAAGTGTCACTGTCTCGATTTTCCTCTGGACTTTCAGTGTGGAATCACTGAGTGCACACTAGACTCAGGAGGCTTGGGTTTGATCTCCAGATTGATGCTGGGTGACCTGGCAAATCATGTAACTGCTTTGTACCTCAGTTTCCTTATCTGTAAAATGGGGGTGACATCACTACTAGCATAGGGTTGTGGTAAGCAGAGTATTCGGTAAGCATTAAAGCAGAGCCGCCCTCCAGGACGCCATTATCATTCTCTGTGAGGTTAGGCCAACTCCTCTTATCAGCGTTCCCAGTTGTTTAATTTCCTGAATACTAACTTTATGCCTAATTACATTTTTATTATTATTAAAGCTATCCCAGGGTCAGCTAGGTAGCACAGTGGATAGAGCACTGGCCCTGCAGTCAGGAGGACCTGAGTTCAAATGTGGCCTGAGAAACTTGACACTTACTAGCTGTGTGACCTTGGGCAAGTCACTTAACCTCCATTGCCTGCACAAAAGGAAAAAAAAAAGAAAAAAGCTATCCCTACTGAAACTAGACGATGTCTTTATTGTGGTAAATGCTCTTTCCTAGTTAGGCAGATGAGGCTACATAGTGCTTAGCACAGGGCCTGGCACATAGCAGGCACTTAAATGTTTTTTAACTGATTGGTTCATATCATAACTATTTTGAGATTTAAACATTAGTGTATATTTTTGAGGCTATTCACTAGACACATAATAGTCAAAAGGAGATTTCAATGAGAGGAAAACAGCTGTAATTGGAATTTTACAGTGTCTTTAAAACTTTCATTCTCTGAGTATTGGGGGGGCTTTTTTTTTTTAGGTTTTGTGCTTTTATTTGACGTAGTGGGCTGCTTCTGAGAAAGCCCCCCCACTGTTTAGATCGATATTTGCCATGAGCAGGCACTCACCAGTCCCCCAGCTGCTCGTGCGTGGAAACTTTGGCTCTGTTTCTGACGTGGGCCGCTTGCCCCTCCTAGGCAGCCTGGCACACACCTTGTGGGCAGAGCAAGCTGAAACTACAGAGCAGGAAATAGACTCAGGAATTTTTGCCAATTTTAACTTTGTTCGGGGTTGCCTTCTTTCGAAGCCTGTCCTGAAATGTAAGATGCAGTTGGGTGAGAAAGAGATCTGCTTCGTTGCTTCGTCTTGTCTGTCCCGGAGTTAATTGTCTCACGGCCAAAGCCGGTGTTCTGTGCGGTTGAGTGGCTCAGAGGGAAGATGATCTGGTCTTCTCAGTAAATTTGGTGCTTTGGTTTCTAAAGCCGGCTGAGGCTGTGTTTCATGTGAGCAGAATGTATGGGAGAATCCCAGGAATGAGGGTCCCGAGCCCAGGCAGCATCTGCTTCAGGGCTGTGTAGGCAGCAGAGTATGGCTGGAATGGGCTGCTTGTGCTGAGGCAGTTCTCATAACTCTCGAAATGCTTTTTGCTATTAGAAGCATGTTTTTGGTCACACTTTGATTACATTGCTATTTTCTTTGGGAACAAAATTGTTCTCTCTTTTTGGGTTGTGAAGGTATCATTAGTGTTTTCAGACTCACTAGAAAATCTCTTCGGTTTGTTCATTTTTAAAGAAAGTGCTCGAGTCCCTGCTGGGTGCGTGCCTTGGCACGATGCAGTGGGAGACCACAGATCACAAGGCACTAGCTCTGTTCCCCTGGAACTGGCAGCATAGTGGAGGAGGGAGACATTGGAATCACGATACAGGATAAAGTGCCCAGCTTGAGTGGTATCAACAGCGAGTGTGTTAGGAGGTCAGCTGAGGGGGATAATGGGTGGGGTCCAGGGGATTTAGAAAGGACTTCTCTGAGGAAATGGGCCTGAGGTGGCCTTTTAGGGATGATTAGAATTTGATTTGGTAAGAAGCAAAGCCTGAAATAAAAGGGTGAACTAAGTGTGGTTGTGAGAGCAGGATTGCTGTTGGGGAGCAGTGGAGGCCAGGTCGGAAAGATGGTGGTGAGTGGAGTGAGATTTCCGAGGGTCTCGCTGGCAGGCTGGGGAGGTTGGCCTCGATCCCATGGGTAATGGGGAGCTCTGGATGGCGCTTGTTTGGGGAATTGAAGCTGGCACTAGCGTTCAGGACAGAGTGAAATGAGTCGGGGAAACCAGGCAGAAAGTAGATGGCGACTCAGTAGGTGAGTGAATTCTAAGGTATTGAGAATTCATTTCTGGCTATTTTAAAAACTTAATACTTGCAGCATGGATGTTTGACAAATTCTCTTAAAGTCCCACATTTAGAAAGTGTGGCACTTTAATTTGTGGTTTGGGTTTTCTCTCCGTGCCTGGATTGGTCAGTGGTCTCTCTTGACATGCTGTGGTTTTTTTCTTCTATTTCAGATTTTGGGGTTAGTGCTTTTTTAGCAACTGGTGGTGACATTACCCGAAATAAAGTGAGAAAGACCTTTGTGGGCACTCCTTGCTGGATGGCACCAGAAGTCATGGAACAGGTAAAATGCACGTTTTATACTTTGGAAAAAGCAAGCTACTGTTTCCTTACGTAGCTAAGTCAACACGCACATTATGTGTATTTTAAACAGTTTGGTGTCCTGAGGTGGCTTCACGGACTTTCTAGCCATCTCAGGTATCGGGGTGGTAGCACTTTGGGCCACATTCTTACAAATTCAGCTGCAACAAGCATTTCTTAAGTGTTGGCTGTGCCTAAGGCACTGTGCTGGGAACATGGGACACCTCATGCACAGAGATAAATCTAGAAGGACAGTGGAGGAGGGAGGGAGCATTGACGGGTCAGGAGACAGCCATGTCACACAGTCTCAAAGGCCCTTGGAATGCAGTGCAAACCTGAACAGGATTTCTTGTGTAGCCTTTACTTAAAGACCGAGAGAGAGAGAGAGAGAGAGAGAGAGAGAGAGAGAAGGAAGCCACCACCCCGAGAGCAGCTGAGGCTACTCTGGGGCAGCTGTCCTTACTAGAAGGTTCTTCTCAACCCCCAGCCTCGATCTGCAGCCTCTCTACAGCTTCAATTCAGAGCCGCTAGCTCCTTTGGGGCTCAGTCTAACGCATCCAGCCCTTCTTCTCCAGCAGAGCCTTCCAGATCCTAGCGACAGCTCTCAGCTCCCCTGGGTCTTCTCCAGGCCAAACACCTCCAGCTTTTTCAGGTGATCTCGCTTGGCGGAATCTCATGGCTGGCCTCCAACCTGCTGGGCCTCCTGCAGAAGCTCTCCCGCTCTTTAGTGACCTTTCCAGCTGTGGCAGCCGGAGAGCAGTCAAGTCCTTCAGCTGGGCCCAGCTAGGCCCGAGAAGCAGCACAGGGGTGTGGCAGAGGGGCCACGCTGGGGTTTCACGTCCTCACTCTGCTGTTTCTTTTCTGTTTTGTGAACTTTGTATTTGATTGGCTTTTATGAAGTCTTTCTGGCTGTCCCTTGGTTTTCGTGTCACCTTTGTTTCCCAGTCTTTCTCCAGTGAGCCATCCCTTATAATACATAAAAAAAGAAAAAGAAATTTCAGCAAAATTAATCAACACATAAATTAAGTCTCCTGTGATTCTCAGTATCTTCCATAGGTCCTCACCTTTGCAAGCAAGGGAGGGGAGGTGTGTATTCTGATACTTCTTCTCTGAGGTGATAAAAAAATAAAGAAAACCCTGAGAAGACTTAGATGAACCAATCAATTAATCAGCCTTTATCACACACTTGCTATGTGCCAGTCACCGGGGATACAAAGAGAGGCAAGACGCAGTCCCTGACCTCAAGGAGCTTACAGTCTAATGGGGAAGACAACAAACAAATATATACCAACACATTATATACAGGATGAAGAGGACATAATTGACAGATGGAAGGAGTTAGAACTGGGGATTGGGAAAGGCTTTCTGTAGAAGATGGGATGTTAGCTGGGCCTTAGAGGAAGCCAGGGAGGCCCCTAGTCAGAGTGGAGGAAGGGGACAGCCAGAGCCAAGAGATGGAGTATCTTGTCCATGGAGTAGATAGGAAGCCAGTGTCACCGGATTGAAGGGTGTACGTTGAGGAGGAAGGTGTAAGAAGACTGGAAGGTAAGAGGGGGCTGCCTCACAAAGGGCTTTGAATGCCAGAGCATTTTGTATTTGTTCCTGGAGGCAAGAGGGAGCCAGTGGAGTTTATCGAGTAGGAGAGTGACGTGGTTGGATGGAAGATGTGCTGGAGTGGGGAGAAACTGGAGGCCAGCAGACACCAGCCCCCCACCCAAGCAGTTATTGCAGTAGTCCAGGGTGAGGTGATGAGGGCCTGCCACAGGGTGGAGCAGTGTCAGAGCAGAGAAGGGAGTGTGTTCGAGAGATGTTGCAGAGGTGAAACCGACAAGTCTTGGCCTAGATCTCGGGGATGAGAGGAAGAAGGCCAGGAGAAGAAGCAGAGGGGAAGAGGCAGTGCCTTCCAGGCCTGAGGACTGGCTGGGCCAGAGGCATTGGGAGATGGCTTAGTGACACACTGGTAAAGGCCAGCTTGTCCGGGACGCAGAGGACCAGAGGAGTAATATCCAGTGGGCCTGGGAAGAGAGACTGGGATCAGGTCCCGGAAGCCTGTGAAACTCATGCTGTGATGGGGGAACTCTGAGATCACAGAGGAGCAAAGGTTCCAGCTTCCAAGCATCTTGGTTTGTTAAGCTAAGCATGCCAGTTGCATGACAGATTTTGACCAGGCCTCCTCAGCTTGGCAGTGGACCCTGAATACAGGAGGAGGCAGATGTTTATGCATTAAAAGAAAACAATTAACAGGATAGAAACCAGAATACAAGATTAGGTCATCTGATTTCTAATTGGAGAAGAGATTAAGGACTTTCCAAGTTGGGAGGAGGAGAGCAAACATGTAATTCCTCGAAATCAAAAAAAAAGGTGTCCCACTCCCCCCCAAGTGTCTGTGTTTAATCAAAGGAACAGGGAAATAGTAAGTGATTGACCAGTATGGGGCCAGTTTTCAGATAAGACCGATAGGTTGCTTGACATGTGAAATCGTGAGAAAACTTGCACCAGTCTTCGGATCTGACTGGATTTCTGGTCCTTAGTTAAGGTCTTCAAACAACAGCTAGAGGTGGTCAGCTTCTCAGCCATGCAGGAATAGGTTCACACAATGCAATAAAGTTGTTTCACAATTCCCATAATTGAATGAAGTTTTCTTACAAGACAGACATTGGACTAGACCCATAATGGACTAGAAAGGGAACTGAGCTGGGTTTAGACTTGAGTCACAAGATGGAGTCAGTGTGATTCACTCAGTCACCACAATACCGAGGAGTTTATTTGATCCTGGAAGCAAAAGGCAGCTGCTGAAATTGATTGAGTGGGGAAGTGAAGTGGTCAGATCTTTGTGTGGCAGCAAGTGTGTGAGATGGACTGGGATGGGAAGCTGTTTGAGGCAGAAGACCAGTTAAGAAGCCATTGTGGTGATGGAGGGGAGAGGTGGTGATGGAGGGGAGAGGCGATGAGGGGTCGTTTATGAGAGATGCTGGGGAGGAAGAGCCAGCAGGGTTTGGCAGCTGGTGGGGACGAGGGAGAGGGATGAGTCAAAGACGATGTGGAAGCCTGGAGGCCGAGGACAATAGTGAGGCTTTGACAGAAATAGGGAGGTTTGGAAGAAGGATGGATTTGTGGCTTTGGAAATTCCTTCCAGATCTAAAGCTGGATTCCAAATAAATGAGAGGGTCTGCAGAGTCATTCATAGCTGCGGTGGCGTGTCTATTTGATAATAAAAATTTTGGCATAAGTTGGTGGAGGAAGAAATACGTAGTGGGCCTTTCTGTAGCCTCCTGCCTCAGCATCACCTGATATCACCAGATAACGAAGACTGGTTGGAAAATGGTCAGTTAAATGAAGACTGTAGGAGTGAGCACATGCGAATACTGAGTAGATGTCAGTCTGAGCCTCAGAAGGTGATTTCCCAAGTTCTTTTTCTTTTTTTTTTAAAGCCCTAATGATTCTTTCATTCATTTTTTAGTACTTTATTTTTCCTCAGTTACATGTAAAAACAATTTTTAACATTCTTTTTAAAACTTTGAGTTCCAAATTTTCCCTCTTCCTGCCTCTGCATCCCTCCTCCCATTGAGAAGACAAGCAGTCCCATATAGGTTATACATGTGTAGTCATGCAAAACATATCCATAATAACCATGTTGTGAAAGAAAACAGACAAATAAAACTCGAGAAGAATAAAGAAAGTAAAAAAAAAAGTCTGCTTCAGTCTGTATTCAGACACCATCGGTTCTTTCTCTGGGGATGGAGTGCATTGTTTATCCTAAGTCCTTCAGAGTTGTCTTGGATCGTTGGATTGCTGAGAACAGCAAAGTCATTCATGGCTGATCATCTTATGGTGCTGCTGTTACCCTGTACACAGTCCATTTCGCTTTGTATCAGCCCATGCAAGTCTTCCCAGGTTTCTCTGAGAGCATCCTGCCCCTCCTTTCTTATAGTACAATAGTACTCCATCATAATCACACAGCACAATTTGTTCAGCCATTCCACAGTTGATGGGCATCCCTCAACTTCTAGTTCCTTACCCCCAGAAAAGAGCTGCTATAAATGTTTTTGTACATGTAGGTCCTTTTCCTTTTTGTTTTTTATCTATTTTGGGATACAGACCTAGTAGTGGTATTGCTGGGTCAAAGGGCATGCCGCGTGTTTTTTCTCAATGGAAATTACTGGGAAGTAGTGTTAACCACAGGTTGAGTGCATAAGAGCAGGTAGCAGCTGATCCTGTTCGAACTAGAAAATAGATTTGGGCTCATTTCATTATAATAGCTGACCTACACTGTGATTGGTGTGAATTAAGGGACCAAGACAAAAAGGTCCAGCCTATATGCCTTTACTCTGCCTTTAAGACCACACACTCTCGTGAGGAGGGGACCCAGCAGTGCACTCTCTAAACCAAGGGTCGGGGGAGGGTGGAACACAGAAAAGAACGAAAAAACTCTTTTCTGTCTCTCCCCCCTCCTTCCTCTTCACTTTTTCTTCTTTCCTCTCTCCCTCTTTCCTCTCCTTCCTCTCTTTCTCTCCCTCTCTCCCCCCTCCCTTTCTTTCACTTCCTCTCCTTCCCCCTCACCATTTCTTCTCTCCTCTCTCTCTTTCCTCATTCCCTCTGTCCCCCCTCTTTCTCCACCCCCTTCCTCCTGCCCCTAGATTGTTAGGTTTATTTTTATCCTTTTTTGACTAGGAGCAGAGAAAGACTCTTGCTCCCAGTTCACGCCTCTTTTAAGGTATTAGAGGGTGTAGACAGTATCTGCAGAAGGAAGCTCACGTAGTCTCCAATTCATTTGTGCCCTGATTTTGCAGTTATTTCAATCCTGAAAGCAGAAGGAAGACCTTGGAAGAAACCTTTGACTTGTTTCATCTGGTTCCATCATGATCTTTTTCCAGTGACATTCCTCTTCTTATTTTTAGGTCCGTGGTTATGACTTCAAGGCCGACATCTGGAGTTTTGGAATCACTGCCATCGAGCTAGCCACGGGGGCCGCTCCCTATCACAAGTATCCACCCATGAAGGTGAGGCCCCTTTCTTTGGCATCGTAGCCATTCTTAAGTGGCCCCGAACCTCACATCTGGCTAGCACAGAGCTAACCCCGGGACCGGTGTCAGCTGGTCAGGGTCAGATGTTCTGAGTCAGCCTCGTGTCAGAAGCATGCCCAGTGACTTGTGCTCTTGGTATGTGGCATTGCTCATCTTAAATAATTTACCTTGCAGTGGAGCTCCCAGATCTCGGTGAAGGTCCTTGCTTGCCATGATCCGTGGGCTTGGTTGGAAAGATGGAGTCCAGTCTGTAGCCCGTCCCACACTGCACAGTGGGGAGTGTGCTTTTCGGTTTGGGGCTGGAGGCCACCCTTTGCCTGGTTTCTCCGGAGTGGTCTTGCGATGGACAGTTGTTTGTCCCAGCCCTCCCACAGTGATCTCATTTTGATGTCCTTTACCCTGCACTTGGTGGAACATATGGTCCCTGCTCTTGAGGACAAGAAGTGGTCACAGGGGTTGGTTTGAGGGCCAGTGAGCCAGTTTACAAGCCTGTAGATACAAACAAATAAGGGCATCATACCTCGGTAAAGATGACCAGGAACATGACATCTGTTGGAGCATCTGTGGGAGAACAGGCACCTGATACATTGTGGTGGCTGTGGGTTGGTCTGCTGTACAAACTCACTGGGAAGTCTACCCACAAGGTCATTTAAACTGGGCCCCCGGCTCGATGGAGTGTTCCTGCTGCCTGTCAAAGCCACGCCACGTGGACAGAAGGTCAGGAGCATCTCCTGAGAGAGACTGAGGAGCGAAGGAGGAGCCCGTCAGTCTTGTTTTTGTGCCAAAGGAATGCTGGAGTGTTGGGCCTAGAGTCAGGAGGACCTAAGTTCTAATCTTTATCATCTGTAAAATAGGGGATTACAAAGTAAACCGACTATCTCAAAATACAGTTCCCCCAAACATTTAACAAACAGAACAACAAAGTCCCTGCTCTCACAGTGTTTTGAGACACACGGTTAGCTAAGTATGCGTTAGCTGCAAGCTGTTCCTTTAAAATCTGCGGTGGGAGTAATAGGCCTCTCTTTTGATTTCCCTGTTGTCCAGTTTTTCTGAAAATGTGACAGCCCTGTTCCTTAAGAGAGCTGCTTTATATAAAACAGGACATGAGACTGAAGAGCACACTCACTGTTGATAGAATGAAATAAAGAATTCTCTTTATGTATTTTGCTTTTTAAGAATAGCTTGAAGCCAGTTGAAGCCAAAGCACTGGTTGCCACACTGGCTCCAAGCCTGGCTCGAGAGGCTGATGCGGTAGTGAGGCTGCCTCCCTCCTAGCTTTACCTGTACAAGTAGAGGGCAGACTGGGCTCAAAAGCTGCGCCGCCAGGGCAGAGAGCCAGGAGTTTGAGTGGGCTTGAAAGCCAGAAGGAGTCAGGAGGACAATGCAGCTAAAAAGACATTAGAAACTTAGAGTTGTTCTTTTGTGGGAGGGGTGGGGGGGGTGGGAAGGGGGCTCTAGACCTGTGATTTCACTGATGGAGTTCCCAGTGAGAATTGGCTCTGTCCTTGCAGACTGTTCTCAGCTCAGAGTCTTATGAGGCAAAGACAGGGGGCAGCAAGTCCACCTTTCACCTGGCTGCGTCCTCCCCCTTCGCCAGCCTGATTTATGGCCTCAGGCCAGACCTTCCTCTGATCTCCTGCCTTCCATCTCCTGTTGCTCATGGAGCTTGAAGGGAGGCTACTAGAGCCTGTGGGGTGACTTCCTTGTGGGCCAGCAGCAAGCACCTCCCACCTCCTCCTGGCAGCTTGATTTCCCAGCCTGGGGGTGGAGAGGCTGTGGTGCAAGGAGGATAAGCTTTTCCTCTGACCTCAGGCCTCCCTTGAGGGAGGAGGAAGAAGAGGGTCAGTGCAGAGAGGGGCTTCCTTCTCGTGCTGTGCTGGTCCTCCATCCCTCTCCTGCTGCACCTGTCCCTGCTTAATCTCCAGCCTTCAGAGGGATGAGGAGTACTGCAGCAGGGCCTTCCTTCTTGTGCTCCACTTGTCTCCAGCCCCATCTGCAGAGGAGAGGCCCCTTCCACTCGACCATTCCCACACCTAGGCATGCCCTACACATTCCAGGGATTCTGAACCCTGTAGATCATCATCGAAACTTCAGTGTCCCTCACCTGCTCCCCAGTTCCTCATTCCCATTCCCCCAATCCTCCCATGCCAAAGATCCAACCAAATATCACCCAGCCCTTTCACTGGGCCCTCTGGACTACCTGTTCCATAGGCAACAAACTTCCCTTCATCTTAAGTCTTTTCATCTCGACTCCTTCCATCTTCTGGCTATTATGGAAACCTGCCTCCCCTGACAACCCAGCCTTGCTGGCCACCCTTCCCTCATTCTTCTTGGCCCGCTGGTCAGAGCAGAAGAGTTGGAATGCTCTTGCTCCTCATTGCCCCTTCAGGGTTCTCCCAGTGACCTCTATCACTCAGTGACCTCTCCTTTGAAATTGGTGCTGTTCATCTCTACCCTCCATTCAAAGTCCTGGTAGCAGCTGTCTGTAGACCTTTGGGTCACTCCCTTTCCTCAGGGAGTACTATACCTGGCTCACGTTTTTCTCCCCAACTCTTCCCTTCACACATGCAGACTTTAGTGTGCGTACCGAAACTCCCTTGAACACCATGACGCTACTCCTTCACCCTGCCGCAGCCACACACAAAGATGGCCAGACTCTCCATCTTGCCATCACCTGCAGATGCACCACCTCCATGTTCAGAATGTAGAGGGCAACAGCGTCCTCCCAGGCCCTCAGGCTCCCACCCTGGGTGTCATCCTGGACTCCTCACTCTCTCTCACTCCCCATGTCCAAGCTGGGGTACTCCATGCCGCCCTCTAGGGGCAGCGTTAGGAGAATCATATTGTCCAGAATAAGGGACATCCCAGTGCCCTGCCCCCTCTCTGCCCTGGTCACAGCACAGCTAGAGGAACGTGCTTAGTTCTGGACGTCACCATTTAGGAATGACAGTGAAAAGCTAGTGTGCATCTGTGGAAAGGGGACTGGGATGGGATGGAGATCAGCAACCTTGCTTGTTAGAAGGAGACTGAAGGAGCTGGAGATGTTGAGATCACAAAAGAGAAGATTTCAAATGTTTGAAAAGTTGTCCTGGAAAAGAGGGCTTGGACACGTTTTGTTGGGCACCAGCGGACCTGGGGCCAGTGAGTGTAGAATTTCAGGAAGATAAATTTTGTCCCAGTGAAAGGTACTTTCTAAAAAGGCATTGGAGTTTCCTATAAGCAAAGGCCTCCAATTGAAGGCCAAACAGCAGCCTATGGGATGGACTAGAGATAAGAAATGGCTCAGTCTTTATTCTCCTTCCATCTGGGAAAGGTGAGGCCTACAGAGATGGCGGAAAATGTTAGTTAGTTACAGCTTGGCTCACGTTTTGTTGACTTGTTTCAGCCGGGATTGGCCTTTCCTGATAAAATGCCTTCTTTCAAGATCTTGCCCAGCTGGCCCAACAGATGACTGAAAACATCTCTTATTTTGAGCTGTCTGAGCAGTCACCTTACCTTGTTACCTGCCCCATTTCCCCTGCCCCACCCTCACAGCCCTGCTGTGAAGACTACCTGGGCCCCCAGAACCTCTTCCCAGGCCTTGACTCCTACTTCCCCAGACTCCAGGAGCCAGGCTGCTCTTAGTGCTGTAGTAGTCAGCCGCCTTTGGGAAGTAGAAGTTTGCAGGTTGGGGGGAAGGGCTGGTATTGGGCTGGCAGGAAAACCTACCATCATTTGAATGGGAGAATTTATTCAGAAGAACTTTGGGAAAGCAGTCAATTTGCCAGCTGGTGACTGCTTACATGGGATATGCTTTTTCTTAAGTCTTGCTGAACATCGGTTGGTCCTCTAGCGATTTATAACGGACTCAATTCTTTCAGGTATTAATGCTGACATTACAGAATGATCCTCCTTCTTTGGAAACTGGTGTTCAAGATAAAGAAATGCTAAAGAAATATGGAAAATCATTTAGGAAAATGATTTCATTGTGCCTTCAAAAAGATCCTGAGAAAAGGTAAAACAAGGACCAGAAAGTTTTCTCCTCATGTAATACTTAGACTTTGGAAGGTTGTTCTTGAAGTTAGATTGCACACGTGTGTGCACACATAAATGCGCACCCACGCACATGCACACATTTGGGCAGATTCTTTGTGCATTTATTACACAGCTCGCCTGCACTAAAGTCCTTCCTTGATGCCTCATCATGTCAGGGAGCTGAGCCTGAGTACTCAAAGGCTAATGCAGTAGAGAGGTTTCTGTACCTGGAGAAGCTGTGAGCCAGGGCCAAGTCAGCTGGCCCTGCGGGATGCCCTCTTTTGGCCCCAGCGATTCTCAAAGACTGTTTCCGTTACTACGTTATGGGGTGATTATGATCTATATTAGTGGAGGGAGTACATGCCCCAAGGACACCGGCAGTCTTTGAAGGGCAGAAGTGGCCGGTGGGCCCCAGAGACTGATCTCATGAAACTAGGAGGAGAGTACCGCCCTGAGCTGCCTGGTCTCTAGAGATAAACATAGTTGTCATTCGGTACGGTTTGGGACACGAGCAGCCGAAACCTTGGACGCATGAGTTCTAGATGATTAATATTGCTGTTTATCAAGGTTCCGCCCCTCCCCTGCCTTCTAATCACACTGCTGTGTCCTCAATACCCGTGAGACTCCCTTGTGTTGCCAGGTCTCGAGAGCTGTGGCAGGCAGCAAAGAAGATGGGGGAGGGACAGGACAGGGTGGGCAAGACAGGAGGCCTGGTCTACAGCATGCAGCTTGAAGGGTGGCAGCTGCAGAAAGATCTTGTGGACATTTTAAATCTTGATGAAAAGAAACCCACGCTCTAAAGGGACTTTCAGCACTTACGGCTACTCACTAACGTCTTAACAGGTGAAAAGAATTTAGATAACTGTGTGAGGCCAGGCTAAGTGAGCAAGGGCAGTCTTTCCTTTTCCCCAGCAAGTGTGCTCTCTCTTGGACTGGTTAATGGTGTGCTAGCCCAGACATGGGCTGTTGTGTGTTAAACAACATACGTGTACCTACGCCATGTGCTCTGCATCACTTCAGTGCCATAGGATGACAGTCTATTTGTTTGGTTTTCACCAAAGATCCGTTAGAGCTACCTGTGTCTTTAAGTGTTTTCTAGTCAGAATTCTTTGAGGTTGCTCTTTTTTAAACCAAGACCCACCATTTTCTTTTCTGAACCGATCAGCTCAGTGCCTGTGCTGCTTCCCCAGTGCTTGCCCCTCACTCATGAAAGTAACCGTAATGATAGTTGTAGCAGTAGCTAGCAGTTCTGTAGGGCTTGAAGGTTTGCAAGGTGCTTTCCCTATGTTAGCTCATTTGATCCTCACAACAGCCCTGGGATGTAGGTGCTGTTATCATCGTCCTCATTTTACAGATGAGGAAAATAAGGCAGACAGGGTCGCACAGCTAGTAAGTAAGTGTCTGAGGTGAAATTTAAACTCTTCGTGACTTCTGGTTCAGTGTTCGCTCTCTCCACCGAGCCACCTTTAATAACCCTAACAACAAATATTTACTATTGTTTGCAAACATTTTCTTTTTATATTGATCAGTAATGCTGAGGTTCTTTTATATCATTTATGCTGCTGAGTGTTGTCCCAACGTGTTTACCTGGTTCTTAGTGAAGGAAAATATTTAGTGTTTGGGCGCCAGAAAGGAAAAAAAATGGCTTTAGGGGCAAAGGGCAGAAGGCAGATTGGCCTGGGCACTCTGTGTTGCCAGGAAGGGCCTCTGGTCACATGAATCTAGAGGAAAGGAAAGTTTGGCTCAGTCATTTCCCCTTATTCAACAGAAAAGACCCATTTGTTCTTGTCGGGTGTCGGGGTCCTGGGGGAACAAGCCCACTATCCCTTCCCACACAGAGCACAGCCTGAGATTTTCTTGAGAGCTCGATTCAGAGGGAGGGGCTGTTTTTGACTGGGCAGCGCCTGGATTCTGGGCGCTGGGAGAGTGACTGAGCCATGGTGCAGAGAAGAGCGCTCAGCTCTGCTCCTGTGTCCTGCCCTTCGTTCTGCTTTCCTCCTGGGGTGGGTGGGGGAACAGACAGGCCTTGGGCCGAGCTCTGTTAGGCCACAAGTGACCTTTTTCTTTTGGCTGCAGAATGGAAGTTTACTTAAAAAATGTAACCTTTCGTCTTGTTTTTAGACCAACGGCAGCTGAACTGTTAAGACACAAATTTTTCCAGAAAGCAAAGGTAGGAAAAACTCGCTCTTGGTTGTGAGTGTGTGTTAGCCCTCATTTAATTGGGTGGGTTTTAGGCTTTTTTAGATTTTTGTGGACATACTTTGTTTTTACATTGAGAGTGCATTCTCAAATGTATCTGTTCCCTCCTGCTTTCCCCCAGCAAGCCAGACCTCCGAACAGCAAATTTAAAAAAGAGGGAAGACTGTCCAGCTAAAAATGAGGCAGCAGCCTGTGCAGCACCCCACACCCATGCCCTCTGGAGGACATTGGCTCCACTTTTCTTCCTTGGCAGCAAGCTTGATATTTATAGAATATTGAGTTTTATTTTTGTGTTGAATCAGTCATCAAACTTTTTTGGGTGCCTCCCCTCTGCCAGGCACTCTGCTGGGCTCTGATGCAGAGCCCAAAGTGAGACAGTCCTGCCTTTGGGGCGTTTACATTCTAATGGTGGCACCAATGTGGGTATGTGCCCGCTGGGACAGACACGGCATCAGAGGCAAGGAAAGAGCAGAAGAGTAGGTATGCAGTAGCGAGGGCCTTATTAGTACTCATCTGTAAAATGGGGGGAAGATCATGGCGCCCACCTCACAGCAATCAAATGAGAGAACAGTATTAGGCGCTTTGCAAACCGTAGAGTACTCTATAAGTGCTGGCTGTTGTCCTCCTCATCCTCCCAGCTCATCAGCATCGTCAGTGTATTAAGACCAGGCAGTGGAGATGTGTCATGGCCCCGCTTGCATGCTGTGACTCCTTCCAGCCTGTGTGTGAGTGGCAGCCAAGAAGGCGGGGGGTAGGAGCTTTGCCGTGAGCAGAAATAGGGTGGGGGGCAAGGAGCTCAAGGGTTAGAGCCAGCAGAAAGTGGAACTAGTTGACTAAAGGGTCACGACTGAAAAGGAAGGAAAGTGAGTGCAGAGCAGTGGTCACAGACTGGAAGAACCGAGGGGTGGCAGTGAGGATGAAGAATGGGCAGTGGAGGGGGGAGGCAGAGGGAAGGAATAGGGTGTCGGGAGAGTGATGGGGAGATTCAGAATCCTAAATCCAGAGCTGGAAGGAACCTCAGAAACCTAGTACATCCTCCTCACTTTTACAGTTGGGAAAACTGAGTCCCAGGGAAGTTAAGGCCACAGGTAGTACATGTTAGAAATGGGATTCTTTCTGCTGGACCAGCTTGCTTCCCAAGAAACGTTATCTCCCAAAACGTGCTGGATTTTGATTTTTCTTGTTGAAGGGCATGGCTGCACCAGTGAGATTGCCAGTCCTTTGGATTATTGGCGTATACTTTGTGCTCATCTGTTTTGGTGTCCTGTCTTTCCCCTTCCTCTTCCAGCTCCCCCCAGGAGAATGTAAGCTCCTTGGGGGCAGGACCTGATAGTCTTTTGTTAACCCAGCACTAGGGAAGAGCCTTGCACGTAGTCCACTCTACTGTGGGTGCCTGATAAATGTTAAAAGTGAGCTTATGATTCCCCCCGGCTTCTCTCGGGTGTCGATGATTATTATGTCATCTCAGCATGACGGATTTCTACATATGTAGGACCGGAGATGAGCTAGCCAATCTTCAGTAGTTAGTAGGAGGGGAAAACTGAACGTTCTCTCATACTTGGATAAATAGATGAACACATCATGCTTTAATAATGCAAAACGCTTAAATAACAACTTCCTGGTTCAGTAACAAGAGTTGTTTTTTTTTAAATAAGAATTATAAAAATCATCTCTTTTCACCTTCTAGAATAAAGAATTTCTCCAAGAAAAAATGCTTCAGAGAGCGCCAACCATTACTGAGAGAGCTAAAAAGGTAACCACACACTGTACTTGCTCCACACATCCGTTATCACTTTGAAAATAGCTTGGAATGTATCAGCCTGTGCAGCATTCTGCTGCAGTGACGAGTCACTTTGCACATTTATTTCTAGCAGTCTATGGATTGAAATGGTTTCCTGCTTGTGAGCTGAAACCTCTTTACAGTACAGTGAAAAGTCGTGTTAGAAACGGTCTTCTAACCTCAGCCCAAAACATTGGTCGAAATCCAAAGAGTAACTCACAACTTCAACTGGATCCTGTAGGCTTGGCAAAGTGGCATCTTCTCTTGGGCTCCTCCAGAGAGCTTCTTGTGATCCTAGGACCTGGAAGAGTCTCTGACATTGGTACTCAATAGAAAGTATGTGAGCCTGAGCTCAAGTTGGGGTGTCGCTTTAAGGGCCCGATGGGGGCAAGGCTTCCACATACATCACACTCCCTCTTTGGCTTGCTTCCGGAACCCTTTGAGAGATCAAGGAACAGGAAGTCCTCTCTGTTTCAGAATTCTGATTTCTGTGCTCAAACCAGGCAGTGCTGTGTAGTGGGTAGATTGGGGAAACTAAAGTCAGAACAACTCTGAGTAGCTGTGTGACATCAGGAAGGCCCCCTGGCCTCTCCCATCCTCCATCTTCTCTAAGGCCGTTGCTGGGAAGAAAGCCTTTAGCGGATCGAAAGGTCCTACTACAGAAGGTAATGGGATTTTTCCCACAAGGAGAAAGATTGCTTGGTGCAGTGGCCCACGAAGTGGAACTTAGGAACCTTCAGGGATGTGATCGGATGTAAGGAGAGTCAGGTAGGCCCAAGGGGTTCAGGGTGGGAACAGAGTAGGAGGCCGTCATAGTGATCCAGGCAAAAGGTGACCGCAGTGGAGTAAGAAATGGGTTAGCAGGCTGTTGGGGCGAGCACCTCACAGTGTCACCGACTCTTCCTGTGGTTGGTTGGAAAGGCTGATGGCTCTGATGCTCCAAGAGTCCATCTAAAATGATTTGGCCCTGCAGAGATAGGGCCTCATGGCCCAGACTTCAGCAGGATGGCATCTTATCCGTACAGCCTGGGCCGTGAAGACCAGAATGGAAGGATCTGAGAGCTCCAGGAATCAAGTTGTTCCTTTACAGAAATCCAAGTGTTTGGGAAGCCCAGCTGATTGTCCAAAGGCAGTCTAATGAGCAGAAATACTGCTAAGAGATTTTCATTGAGTCATGATTGCCTGTTCTTTACTAAAATCCTAGTCTGACGCCTTATCTCGGCCTAGAGGCGGCGGCATTTACAGAATCTCAGAATGTGAAAGTCCTCCAACCCTTTCAGTTGCTTTTGCCAGTCACGTCCAGCCATTTGTGACCCTATTTGGGGTTTTCTTGGCAGAGATGTTGAAGTGGTTGGCCATTTCCTTCTCCAGCTCATTATACAGATGAGGAAACCGAGGCAAACAAGGTGAGGTGACTTGCCCAGGGTCACCCAGCCAGTAAGTGTTTGGGCCAGATTTGAACTCAGGAAGAGGGGTCTTCCCAACTGCGCCTCCACATGGTAGGCACTTGATCAATGGTTTTGATTGATCTCATAGTCTGTAATTGGCCCAGTGTTCTAGCCCATCAAGATCTTTTTTAATCCTGACCATGCCCAGCTTCCCTCACTCCCCTGTGGAATCTGCGCCCTTTCCGGCCTTTGTCCAAGCCCCAGGATTGGTCCAGGTCCCTGTAGCTTGGCGCTGTTCGCTTCTTTCCTGGTTAAGTTTGAACTTTTAATTACTGCTCTTGGGGTGTGCCCATTCGCTTCCAGTCCGCCTAAGTTTACTTGTGTCCAGTCCGAACTTCTCTGTCTTTTCTCCAGAAATAAGTATGAGAAACTCTTGTCACGTGCTTTGCTAGGATCTGAATAAGCTCCTGTCTTGAGCATTTCTCTGATCCACTGGTTGGGTGGCCTTACCCAAAAAGAAAGGAGTGCTGAGGTACTGCGGCCCAGCCTCTTCTGGATGAAACCAGGTTGGCTCTTGGTGGCCTCTGCATCCTGTTCTCATTATTTTACTGACCATCCCTTTACTGGGATCTTGAACAGTTTTGCCAAGAATCAAAGTTAAATTCACTGGCTTACAGCTCACAGACTGTGTGGTCATCTATTTCTTGAAAATCAGAGCAATATTGGCCTTTCTGGAGCCCTTCAGTTCTACTAATGAGGGGCAGCAGTCACCTTACAGTATGCAAAGATGGGGTTCACCTGGGCCCAAAGTGCAGCAGCAGCAGCTTCTACGCTGCCTGAAGGCTTTTTCACCCGCTGGTCTTCATCTGATCCTTCTAACAGTTCCGTCGGGGCACATACATGTCATAGGTGTGGTTATCCCTGTTCTCTAGGTAAGGGATATGAAGTTGAAAGACTTGGTTGGAACTTGGCTGCGGTCCTTAAATTTGTCATGCATAGCAAAGCTTAGAAAAGCTTTGAGTTCTCCAAGCCAGAAGGGTAACGGACTGGAATGTATCGGTTAGAATTTGAGAGATTTAGCATCAGGGTGATAAATTTTTTTTCAGATATAGCAACTTATGAAGGTAGTCTGCTTGGAGAGGATGCATTCTGCGTCAGGAGATGAAATGCCCAGAACAGTCAGGTTCTGGGGCTGAATTCTAAGGAAGAGGAAGTGGTGCCCTGGGTTACTTGACTGAACCAGCAAGCGTTTGGGAAAGAATGCAGTATTTCAGCCTCAACCTTCGCTTCTCCAAAAGACTTTTTCTTATTTTGGCAAGGCAGTCTAGGATAAGTGACTTGACTAGGGTCACACAGCTAGTTAGTGTCAAGTGTCTGAGGCCAGATTTGAATTCAGGTCCTTCTGACTCCAGAGCCGGTGCTCTATCCATTGCTCCACCTAGCTGACCCCTCTAAGACTTTTTCTTAAACATCAATATTCCTTTCATGCTGCTTGGCTGCAAAGTATAGATTAATGACAGCCGTTGTTGATGTAATACTTTAAGGTTTTCCAAGGACTATATATGTCTCTCTCTCTATATATAAAAGCTCATTACATCTCTACTACAGCTCCATGAAGTATAGGTAGGTACCACAGGGATTATTGCAAATGAAATGTTAGAGATAAGGCAGCTGGGGCTCAGAGAAATTGAACGGCTTGCCTGTGATCACAGCTAATAAATATTCATGGTGGGATTCAAACCCAGGTGCCTCCTGTCTCTTAAGTTCAGTGTCCTTTCTGTTATACCACATTGCTTCTTAAGGATTATAGAAGAAATAAAATTATAAACCATTCAAACAACAGTGAAAAGCCATAGAGTCCGAGTAAGCAAGCTGCTGTTTGCTATAGATGGTGACTTGTGAATAAGAAATGAAGAAACAAAGTAAAAGATAGGCCATTTTTAATAAGATGGACCATTCTATCAAAACCTGTGGGATACAGCCAAAGCATCAGTCACAGGAACATTTGTATCTCTAAATGTTTATGTCAGTAAAATAGAAAAAGAGCAGACCAATGAATTAGGTATGTAATTTTTTAAAAAAACTAGAAAAGGGAACAAATTAAAAATCCCCCATTAAACAGTCAGTTGGCCATCTTAAAAATTAAAAGTGAGATTAGTGAAACCACGTATAAGAAAACCATTGAATTAATGAATAAAAGTAGGAGTTGTTTTTATGAAAAAAACCCAATAAAATAGATAAACCATTGGTTAATATGATTTTAAAAAGAAAAGAAAATGAAATCACTAGTATTAAAAATGAAAAGGGTAAATATACCATTAATGAAGGTGAAATCAAAGCAGTTATAAAGAATTATTTTGTCCAGTTATATGTCAATAAAATTAACAATTTAAATAAAATGGAAGAATATTTACAATAATGTAAACTGCCTAGATTAACATTAGAGGAAATAAAATATCTAAATAAGGCTGTTTTAGAAAAAGAAATTGAACAGGCCATAAATGAGCTTTCTAAAGCAAAAGGGCATCAGGATCAGATGAATTTACAAGTGAATTCTGCCAGACATTTGAAGATCAATTAATTCCAATATGAAATAAATCATTTCCAATAACAGGCAAAGAAAGAGGCCTACCAAACTCTTTTTGTGAAACAAATATACTGTAATGTAAACCTGGAAGAACAAAAAACAAAGAAAATTATAGACCAGTTTCGTTAATGAATACAGATGCAAATATCCTAAATAAAATACTGGCTAGGAGACGACAGCAGTATATTACAAAGATTCTACGTTGTGACCAAGTGGGATTTATACCAGGAATGTAAGGATGATTTTACCTTAAGGAAAATTATTAACATAATTGATTATGTCAGTAACTAAAATCTACAAAAATTATATGAATGTATCAACAGATGCAGAAAGACTTTCGATAACATACAACATTCATTCCTATTTTTAAAAAAAACACTTGAAAGCATGGGTATAAGTGGATTTTTCCTTAAAATGGTAAGAAGCATTTACCTAAAACCATCAGCAAGAATTATTTGTAATGAGGATAAGCTAGAAGCCTTCCCAGTAAAATCAGAAGTGGGAAAAAAAAGATGTCCATTATCATTAATATTATTCAGTATTAGAAATACTAGCAAAGAGAAAAAAAATTAAAGGAATCAGAATGGTCAATGAGGTAATAAAATTATTTCTTTTTGCAGATGATATGATTATATACTTGGAAAATCCTAAATATTCAGTTAAAAAGTTAGTGGAAACAATAATTTTAGCAAACTAACAGGATATAAAATAAACCCACATAAATCATCAGCATTTCTAAATGTCTCGCTCTCAAGGAGCTTATAATATAATAGGGGAGACAACATGCAAACAAATATATACAAACAAGTTATCTACAGGATGAATAGGAAAAAATGAGCAGACAGAAGGCGTTAGAATTAAGGGAGAGAGTGATGAGAAAGGCTTCCTGTGTAAGATGAGGTTTTGGCTGGGACTTAAAGGAAGCCAGGAGGTGGAGATGAGGAGGGAGAGCATTGTAGGCCTGGACAACCAGGAGAAAGTGCCCAGAGCCAAGAGACGGAGGGCTTATTAATGGAGAAGCCAGGAGACCGGTGGCACTGTGTGGAAGAGTATGTTTCGGGGAGTAAGATGTAAGGAGACTAGAAAGGTAGGAGGGGGTTGCATTGTGAAGGGCTTTGAATGCCAGATGGAGCATTTTATATTCAATCCTCAAGGAAGCCCCTGTGTCACCGGTGGTGACACAGACAGACTTGTGCTTTAGGAAAATCACCTTACCGGCCAAATGGGGCAGGGAGTGGAGTGGGGAGAGACTTACAGCAGGCAGACTACCCCTGCCAAGCAGGCTATTGCAGTAGTTCAGGCATTAGAAATTTAAGACAAATGTAATTATTGAAAATTTCAAGCAATTATAACCATTCTCAAGTTATTCCATTTTTTGTAAAATCACAGTGGTCTTGAAAACCAGCTTGTTATACTATATCTGCCAAAATAAATTACAGTGAGAAATATGGCATACTATGGTACTTTTAACTTGGACACAAAAATTGGTTAATTTTAAATACTTCATGTTCATATGAAGCAAGTAGTTCAGTGATAGAGCTCATCTGCATGATGAGCCCCCCGTGACTGGCAGGCTGGCAGCGTGCCGCCCCCTTGTGGAGGCTCTCTGTGAACTAGCTGCAGTTGGCCCTCATTTGTTTACACAGTCATTCAAGAATGATGGTACTGATGGAACCACTGTTGTTATTGCAACAAACTGAACGTGCTGGTTTTACTTTTGTAGGCTTTGTACTTAATTATCATTTTTTTAGATGAATGACTGTTGCTTTCCATCCCTTTTCCCATCCTCCGTGGGGTCTCCGAGGTCCTGCTCCTCTCTGTGTGGTGGGAGACAAACACCCAAGGACGGAAAGTGCTGGTTTTGTGGATGGGCCCTCCCCAGGGCCCTGCTCAGCACTTCCAGCTTGATAATGCTAAGCAGCCTAGCTTCTGAGACCCCACGGTCCCTGTCATAGCAGGAGAAGGCCACACAGGGAGACTTTGGTCGAGGCAGGGAAAATACCTACCTAAAGAATGTATTGAAGTTAGGAAGAAGAATCAGTTGGATTTTGTCCTCTTTTGGAGGACACGTCAATAAATATTCAACAGACATCTTACTTTTCTGCTGAGCAGGTTCGGAGAGTGCCAGGCTCCAGTGGCCGGCTTCATAAAACAGAGGATGGTGGCTGGGAATGGAGTGATGATGAATTTGATGAAGAAAGTGAGGAAGGGAAGGCGGCCATTTCACAGCTCAGGGTAAGTAGATACCATCTTGGGGTCTCACGGATGTGACTTCTCAGCCAAAGAATACAGCTTTGAGAATGAGAATTCATTTTGCTTCCTTATTCAGCCTCACAGTTTAAAATGGGGTACAAGTATTCTATTTTTTAGATAATCTTTTATATTTTCCCCCAATTATATGTAAAGACAATTGTTAACATTCGTTTTTTAAAAATTTTGAGTTCCAGATTTTCTCCTTTCCTCAGCTCTCCCCTCTCTGAGATGGTAAGCAGTTTGGTGTAGGTTATACATGTGCACTCATGCAAAATGTATTTTCATATCAGTCATATCAGACACAGACCAAAAGGAAAAAAAACACAGAAAAGAAGGAAAGTAAAAACGATATGCTTCGATCTGCATTCAGACTCCGTCAGTTCTTTCTTCAGAGCTGGAGAGCATTTTTTTTATCTTGAATTCTTTGGAATTGTCTTGGATCGTTGTGCTACCGAGGAGCTATTCACAGTTGATAATTGTACAGTATTACCGCTGTTATTGTGGAGTACAAGTATTCTTGAGGAAATCATTTCTCGGTCAGTTATTAGAATCAGAATTTTAGTTCATACTATTTAAAATTGGATGAGACCATCTATTTAAGCACGATGTTTCTCTTCCAGACTGTAGTTGAATGCTATCACTGAAGGGGCAGTTGGTGCCTAGGTGTGTGCTGGAAGAGTCCCGTCAGCCAGCACAGATCTTTCCTCAAAGGGGAGGCAGACATGGTCACTTGATTTGGGTCAGAGTTCATCTAGATGTTTCATATCTAACTTAATATTTCAGAAGCTCTTAGCTTTCTGTTTCCAATATTGATGACTGAGTGATGGAGCTGGTTTGTGTGTTTTAGGGCGGTCCTTTGGGGCTGAAGGTAAATGGCCTGCCTTGTTCTCACTTCTGAGATAAGGGCTTGTTTGTTTTTTGTCTCTCCTTTAGTCTCCTCGAGTAAAGGAACCGTTAACGAATTCTGAGGTGAGTCGGCTTGGTCAAACTTAACCAAAACCATCATGTTCCAAGTATGTATGTGCCATGTTTTCCTAATTGCTTTTGTGCTTTAAAGGGGGCATTAGTGGAGTTAGTCACAGAAGCCTGTTCTGAATTAGGCTGGAGACCCTTGACTTTTAAGTTTAGACAAAGAGAATGCTTGCTACAGATCGGAGCCATTGCATCACTTATCTGAAAGTGTCTCTGGGGACCACGTGCAGATGAAGGGACAGAATTTTGTCCATTGGGCTGCCCGGGGTGGGGAAAGTTTCACCAGCTTAAATCAGCCCAAGGAGTTGCTGTATTGTGGCTCTTGCCTGGATGTCCTACACCTCCTAATTACTGCCCTGTTGTGCTCCATCACTCACTTAGGTATGGAGGCCACGTCGCGCCAACCATTCTGTCTCGTCTTCGTTTCTAGATCTCAGCGTGTTGTTTCATGTCACAGAAATCTGGCTTTCAGGCCCCTAGCCCCGTCCAATTGGCTTTTTTCCATTTTAAAACTTATTTGTCTCTATTCCTACATTGCTTTATTTCACTATGATAAGTCTGTGTGATTAGAACCAATACTGCTGGAATGAGATCTAAATGTCTAATAATGTTGACAAGCTAGGATCTGATAATGTAGTTCCCACATTCTCCCAAGTCCTCTGCTCCTTGCCTTCCATCTGGCCTGGGCCTCCTTCTCCCCCAGCCCCATTTGGCCTGCCCTCTGTGCCGTGTCCCTCACCATGCCAGACTATCTGAGGAGAGGTGAGCTGGCTTCTGAATCAAGGTGAGATGGGCCTCAGGGGCCAGGCTGCCTCAGTTACTGATGAAAGCTTGGCTGGAAAGTCTGGAATGAAGAGTGTAGCTTCTCAGGCAAAGGGAGGAAGCTGCGTGTAGAAGGCATGATTGCTCGGACATCTTTTTTGAACTCCTCTTTTAGAGAACTGTTTATTTCTTTGGGGTGAGGGGAGGTGGGTGGTGGCCGAGAAGTGCCTTAACCTCCCTTGGGGCTTCCATAGTGAGGTAGAAGCCGGGAGGCACCCTAGGCAAAATGGCGCTGCCACCGCTCCCCATCCTGAAGCTCATGCGCTTCTCTGGGCCCTTCACTGAAGCCTTGTGTCCGCATTTCTGTGTTACAGCTCTTTCCTCCATCTGATCCTGTGGGTACTTTACTCCAAATTCCAGGACTGTCTCCTGCTCAGCTACCTCAGCCAGCTGGACAGACTCCTGCCCAGTCCACTCACATCACTGTCCCGCCACCTGTACAGGCACCCGCAGCTCCAGCAGGAGGAGCAGGGCAGGTAAAGATGCACAGCACTTGTCGGGGGGTGCCTTTTCAGGAAGAGACGCCATCCAGAGGAGCACTAGCAGAATGGGGAAGGGGCCACCGAGTGGACTTACCTGAAGGGAGAGCAGGCTGGGGGAGAGGTGACAGCGGCCTCGGCACTCCTGCCTTGTTGCTCCCAGTGGTAATGGATGGAAGCTGCAGGGCATCAGCTTTGCTGTCCAGCCTCTGCTCTGAGGTTGTGAACCTCCCCCTCACTGGTCACACCTGTCTGAGGGATTCCTGTACTGATACAAGGTCGTGCCAGGTGACCCTTGTCACCTTCTGGTCCTGGGTTTCCCCGTAGATGTTCTCCCCAAAGAAAAGGGCTCTCTGAAGGGTTTTAAGGGGAGTGTACTCATTTGGAATTGATAGTGGTACAAAAGAGGGATGCTTCTGTAGAAAGGATGTGGAATTTGGAGTCCAAGGGACATGGTAACCCCAGCTGTGCTCCTTACTGCCTTTGTGAGCTTGGGCAAGTCTCTGGCCCTTTCTAGGCCTCAATCCAGTGAAAGCCTTGGCCTAGCTTATCCCTGAGCTCTAAGTCCAAGACCTTGTGAAAGGAACTCTCCAAGGTACCTGAGCTTGGAGTGAATTCAATTCCTGCTCATAACTCTGAGCTGCCTGTTCCTTGATGCTTCCCCCCCCCCCCCGCTTTTTGGTGAGGCAGTCAGGGTTAAGTGACTTGTCCAAGGTCACACAGCTAATAAGTGTTCTGTGTCTGACGCCAGATTTGAACTCAGGTCCTCCTGACTCCAAGGCCAGAGCTCTATTCACTGTGCTACCTAGCTGCCCCCAATCCTTGACGCTTTCTTGTCCAAAACAGCAGCTGCTTGGGAAGCCAGGAGAGAGCTGCGTCCCTCCTGCTGGGAGATATTCACACCTAGTTCAGGAGCCCAGTGCAGGAGAGTAAAGCTGAATTGTCACTTTCTGAAAATTGCCTTGGCCAAAAGATCCCCATGCCCCCAAAGTGGGCATGCCCCTCTTCCTTTTGACTAGTTTATGCCACAAAGTTTCTAACGACTTTTCTTAGGAAGCCAGTGAGCAAGCACGATACTCCTGATTAGGGGAATTAGTACTGGAGCTCAGGACGTGAGGGTGCTCCAAAAGTCGAGGGCATAGCGATGATGTCTGCAGCCTGAAAGCAGTAACGTAAGGGGAAGAAAGGGTGGGTAGGGCGCTGAACCGCCGCGAAAGACGAGGGGGAGGCTCTCCAAGACTCCGTCCGCACAGCAGACATTCTGGCCGGGTCCCTCAGTACCAGGAATGACAGTAGAAATAGGTGAAATTGGGGCAGCTAGGTGGTACAGTGGATAGAGCACCAGCCATGGATTCAGGAGGACCTGAGTTCAAATCTGGCCTCAGACACATAACACTTACTGGCTGTGTGACCGTGGGCAAGTCACTTAACCGCATTGCCTAGCAAAAAAAAAAGAAAGAAAGAAAGAAAAAGAAATAGATGAGATTGAGATAACTCCCGAGGTTGTCTCTGCAACGTAGCACAATGTGCTGGGTGTGGTGTGGTCAGCAGGGTTGTCCAGTGTTACTGTTCAAGCGATGCAGGGACGGACGCTCTGGGGGACGTGATGTGGTAGAGCAGGATTGTGACCGGCCTGCCAAGTGAGGCGTTTTGTTTCTAGTTGGAGGAAATTCTGCTTACGTGTCTCCTCCCCGTCATCTTTAAAATGGCAGTGCGTTATTTTCAGTGGACTGAGGTGCAGGTGGGGTTCATGGAGTAGAAGCAATATAAATAATATTGCTATGAGCCTAAAGGAGCTGTTGAGGTTGCCTGTTCTGGCTTACTCCTTCTGCAGATGAGGACTGAGAGTGACCTTTCAGATAGCCAATAGGAGAACCAAGATTGGAATCCAGCTCCCCAGACTCCAGATCTGGTGCTCTTACTAAATGCCATGCTAGCCTTTTTTATTTTTAGACTAGTATTGCAGCAGCCACTCCTGGTCTCATGAAAGCTTGAATCTGCTTCATTTTCTCACCTGGTTCCCCCCTCCTTAGGTGGCCTTGTAGCCCTCTGCTCCAGGCATCCACCATCCTGGGGGATCCAGCAGACTTGGTGTAGACAACCAGTCAGTGTGAGCCAGACTGCATTCCGGCACTCCTGCCTCAGCCTCCCCTGCACCAGGGCCTTGCTGTGTACGCCTCGCCCACTTGGACTTTTCAACCTAAAATAGCACCAGCAAAATTGCCACCCTGGCTTTTCTTTCTTTTTTTTTTAACTTTTTTATAATATTTTATTTTTTCTCCACTTCCATGTAAAACTAATTTTTAACATTTGTTTTTTAAAATTTTGAGTTCAGATTTTCTCTTCCTTCCTTCCTTTACTTCCCCCACTCTCTGAGGTGGTAGACAGTCTGGTATAGGTTATACATATGGAATCATGTGAAACATTTCCGTGTTAGTCACTTTGTAAAAGAAAAATCAAACAAACGAATAAATGAAGTGAACAAAGTTGCATGCTTCCGTTCTGCATTCAGACTCCACCAGTTCTTTCTCAGAGGTGGCTAGCATTTTTCATCTCGAGTCCTTGGGCTTGTCTTGGATTATTGTGTTGCTGAGAAGAGCTAAGTCATTCACAGTTGTTCATTGTACAGTATCACTGTTACTGTTACGGTGTTCTCCTGCTTCCACTCACTTCACTTTGTATCTGTTCCTGTAAGTCTTTCCAGGTTTTTCTGAAATCACCTTGTCATTTCTTATAGCACAATAGTATTCCATCACAATAGTATACCATGACTTGTTCAGCCATTCCCCAATTGATGGGCACCAATTCTTGGCCACTGCAGAAAGAGCTGCTGTAAATATTTTTGTGCACGTGGGTCCTTTTCCCTTTTTCTTTGATCTCATTGGGACACAGCCCTAGCAGTGTTGTTGCTGGGTCACAGGCTGTGCACGGTTTTGTATCCCTTTGGGCCTAATTCCAAAAGGCTCTCCAGTGTGGTCGCCACCCTGGACTTTCTTCACCAGTTTGTATATTTTCCCTGACTATAAATTAATCTGGTGCTGACATTCCCCCCAAAATAGAACAATAGACTTTGATGTATAGTCTCCATTCTGAGCTTTCCTTTTGAAAAATTAAGAACTCCTGTTCATTTTCCTTCAAGCAGTGGCTCCGTGGTCTCAGGCCACGTTACCTCTGTTTTCAGGGTCTGGTGACCTCCCACCGTCACCTTCTTCCTGCCCTTGGAAGGCCAGTAGGTTGTGTTTTCTGCATTGCCACTGACTTCATCTTGAAGAGCTCATTCCCCTTGTTCGAGGGTCACTTGCACGGTGGATGTTGCCACCTCCTTTAGGAGGCTTTTCCTGCTTCCCCGGGGTTGGCGGGGTCCTCTCCCTACCAGTCAAGTACTTTGCACTTCTTGTGTTTCTGGCGGGTGAGGCAGGTTTTCATTTGGTATCCCCTGTGCCTAGCATAGTGCCTGGCACAGTCAAGGTACTTGGTAAAGGCTTTTTGATTGGTTGATTCCCCCATGCTGAAAACCATGCCACACTCTGCCCGCCTCAGCAGCATCCACCAGCCCAGAACAATTCATCTGCCAGTTTGGTTTTTTGTATTTATTATTGTTCTGAATCATAACGATATTATTTGCCAGTCTGTGATACTTTTTGCTTACTAGAAATTAACCTTAAGATCCCTATTTATACAAGTGAAGTTTTTAACCTTATTTTAAATAAACTCAGTTATGAATTTTGAATTGACAGAAATGATAAAGTAAAGCAGATTGTGAACACTTACCAGCTGTCTGTGATATTGGCCGCTGGATTCCGTTAGAGAGAAAGATCTCCCTGAGCACAGAAGGCCCAGCCTGAGGGAGATCTGGGCCAAAGACAGGGACCACAGAGGAGACGCTTCTGAGAGCACTCCCTGGCACACAGAGGCTTGGCCATGTCTCAGCCTCTTCATCGCCAAAAGTTTTTGATTCCATTTCAAGATGTTTTCCCCCTTTGGTCTTATTGTAAGTCACTGGAAAGACAGATTTTATCTTGTAGCCAATTTTCCTGGAATACACACATACATATGAGTACACACACACACACACACACACACACACACACCCCCGAAGTGAGACTATCCAGAGAGATCTTTGTGACTTTCTTGTTTCTGCAGCGTACGGTCCAAAGTCACAGATAACCGCACTCCTCTGTTGTTACAGGTGACTTGATAAGAATTGTGCCTCTTATGTAAGGTGAACACACACTCTGCCTGCCATATTGGCCAGTATTCAGTCTGTCATTTCCTGAACATAACCTCAGTTTTCTGTCTGTCATTCTCCCCTGGGCCATATCTTCCCTCCTCCCCATCTCTGCCCATATGCTGAAATCCTGCCTCTTTTTCAAGGCTTCAGTCTAGTGATGGAGGCTCCATGGTGACTTCCTGCCTTCTGCCTTGCTCTGTCTCCTCCGAGTGATCCCTTCTTTCTCTTACCTTCCAAGCCCCCTTATTATAGCTCTGATCACATTCTGCCTTATATTGGGATTATTGTATACGTGGCATATTGGCGTGACCAGAATAGAAATTCTTTGAAAGTAGTCAAGGCGTTCCTTCCACAGTGTCCCTTTGAAACTTGAAACTCTGTGGCTTGATTTTTTTTTCTTTTCCTAGGAAAAGGGCTTCCCTGATTGTGTTTGGCTTACCTTCAGTTCCCTTAAGCTCCCACCTACACCCCGCTGAAAGCTGTAGGAAGAGATCCAGAAGAGTACTGGGGAAATGGGAAACTAGCCTGAAGCTAAAAACTGGGCTGTTGATCATTAGCCAGATAGCTCCCCTGCTCCCTAGACTCGTCTGAGTGCTTGAGGCTTGGTTGGAAGTGACGCTGTCCTTTTGAATATGATTCCCTAGGCTCCGCCATCAGAAGGGGCAGGTTCCCAAGACACCAAGGTCCCCATCAGTCTGGTACTAAGGTTAAGGTAAGTCGATCACTGCTTCTTTGAAGACCCTGACCTGCCTTACATTTCTCTAAAAGCTTGCAGGTGGAGGCAGGTGGGAGTGCCTCCTTTCTGGAGCATGCTGTCCTGTTGGTCAATAGCTTCATTTACACTCCAGAAGTAAGTCCTGACAGCATGCTGCCTGTTGGACAGGAGGAAGATGACTCCTGGCCTGACCTGGGATCAGCAGGATGTGCTTGGGGGAGTGGCTGCTCTGTGCGCATCGCCCCTGCTCCTCAGGACCATCTGCAGGAGAGCCCAGTGGGCAGATCAATGGGCGGCCTGGCATCAAGGAGCCCAAGAATAGAGGCGGGGTTTGTTCCTGGGCACGTAGAAAAGGCATATTCCTTTGGTCAGAGATTACGGGGGATGTGTACCTTTCACCGTTTTCACCACAAATAACCTCGGGAGTTTGGAAGAGCCTCTGGGGGTGGCCACCAGACCTGGCTCCTGGGCAGCCCAGGAGGCCCCACGGACATGTGGATGGAGGTGCTGGGGTGGCCGGGGGTCACAGGGTGGGCTGGCTTTTCTTCACCCCGCTTTAGGTTGTTGTGGCCGAGGACCACCCTGCTCTTTGTTTATTCATGTGGAGTGAAAAATACATTTGTAATGGCCATAGCGTATTTGGGGCCTCAGATGCCAGAGTCCTCGTTCTTCCCGCTGGCCTGCGCTGCTTCCTCTCTGCTGCCCTCTGTGGAGGAAGGGGCCCGCAGGGAGCCCGCGTGGACTTGTTCGGTCACTGCCTCCTCCCACGCCACGAAGGAGGCCGCTTTCTGGAGCCTCCTCTAATGACGTCGGCTTCCCTAGACAATTCATCCCGCAGTTGCTGCAGCAAAAGTGATTCAGGATGTGCCCGCAGACGGATAAAGTCTTGCCCGTTGGAGGTGTTTTCATAACACATTTAACAACGGTGCCATTCTTCTTGTGCAGGCAGTGCAGGTGCCAGCAGAGTAAGCCCCAGGCTCCTAGGGGACATCTGTGATCAGTTACTCTGTTACTCTGCAGGAGCAGAGCCGCCCCCACACAGCCTGTGACAACCCCGCTTGCCAACACCTGCCAGGATCTCCGCTGTTATTACTTGGAAATGTTACTCCATCCACTGCTCTTCTGTCTGTTCATTGAATGGACTTCTGTGGTAGTTAATGAGGATTACGTTAGATCTTTGGGGGAGAAGACACTGAAAGCGATATGATTTGACTTCCCCAGGCGTTGGGTGCTGAGGGCCTTTGGGTCCCAAAGCGGCCTTACCGTTCCACGTTAACATCTCCAGTGAGGCTTACACATTGGCCGTTCTGATGAATTTTCCGTTGACCAGGCAGCTGTAGCAAGGCCTGCTAACCAGATGTGATGAAATATACAATGAAACTGGCAAATCATGGTCTTACTGCCGTAGATGAGAAAACGAGATGGTCCTCCGTGGAAACTGCATTGAATCAGGGCAGGGTCAGAAGAATTGTGTGCTCAAGTGCAGAGCACAGAAATTGAGGGAAAGGTCATTGTGGAGGGGAGCCAGGCAAGGACAGTCTGTTCTAAGTCTTGAGCCTCACATTTCCGGAACGTTGATTGGCTGGTGTGTTATTTGGTAGGCTTGGGTGGGTTAGGAGGAAGGGACCAAGAATTGCTCGGCCTTCCTGATTCTTCTCCTGCAGGCTAGCTAATCCAGTGCTCACAGGGAATCCTCCTTGGCCTGAAGTCACTTGCTAATTCTTGTGGTAATTGGCCCAAGTGACTTACCTTCGTGCTCACTTTGATATATGTAACTGTTCACAAGCAGCCCTGTAAAGGAAGTAAGTAGTATAAATATTATCCCTGTTTTACAGGGAGAAACTGAGTTTCCAAGAAGTTAGAGAACTAGTAAATGTCAGAGCTGGAACCTGAACTCAGAGCATCTGAATCTGACTCTATGGCAGCTCCATGGAAAAATAGATGAAAAGGAGCTCTTCACACTAGGGAGGAGCAGGAGCCACGTGAAACTTGGTCATCTGGCCCGAGGGCCTGTTCTCCTGGTCTGGACAGGCCTCGGCAGGAAGTCAGAGCCTCTGGTGCACTGGGCTCTCATGGAAGGGCCTGGAATTTCTTCTTTTGTTTTCTCCCTACTCCCAGCTCCCAATCCCACCAGCTCCAGATTTGCCATCAGCTTGTTCCCCTAGAGGAGACTTGATGTACCCATCAGACTCCCCACTTGAGAAAAGAACCAGTGTGTGCTTGAGCCACCCACTTGATCTCTGTACTGCCACCAGGCTCACTGTCTGCACAAGCGCAGGCTTCTCAGTCCATCGATTCTTGTATTTCCGAAAGCTGATGGTCTCCTTACGTTCAGTGTTACTGAGCCCATCTCAGACCAGTCCAGGTGTTGGGTGTGGACCATGCCAGTATTTCTGTGACCGAAACGTGCAAGTGATGTTAAGGATAAGCCTAAGTGAATAGAAATTATCTGGGAAGTCACCTCGAGAGGTTGTGGGCATTCCTGCCCAGTGACAGACTAACCGTATGATTCTCATGGCTCGTACAGCATGCTCTCCCTTGCTTCATAAAAATGACCCCCCCCCCAGCTGGATCGAAGGCTGGAAGTTCAAAATGAATCAACATTTGCAGGTGGTGGGAGTGAGCTTGCCGTCCCCCAGAGGCAGACCCCGGGGTGTTCAGTGGCCATGGGGAGAAAGCGGAGGAGGAAGGGAGAGGGAGCTCTTCTGGGTAAAGCTCACTGCCTTTTGCTGTGTGTACCCAGATGTAGACATTCTGGTTTTAATTCGTTTTCTGTTCTCTTTCATAGGAATTCAAAGAAAGAACTTAATGATATCCGATTTGAATTTACTCCAGGAAGAGGTGAGGTAACACAGTATAATGAAGGAAAATGATTTCTAAATGTATCCTGTCATTGCGTGCCTAAGAAGCACAAAGGTCCGTGATCCTTTAAGGGATTATGTGCTCACATCCTGAAATGCCAGGAAGTTTACATTTTAAGCTTAAACAATGATTGATTGCTTTGGGAGGTAGAAACTTTCTTGGTTCGTAGTTTCCTTTTGATTAATGGCACATACAAGTTGGATAATAAAAGGACCATGTCAGATAGTAAATTAGCGCTTTCCAGGCTTTGAGAGACCTGGCTTTGGGTCCCACCCCAGACACTGATTGTGTGATCCATCTATAAAATGGGGGGAATGATATGGGCATTACCTGCTTTGCACGGCTGGTATGAGACTTGGCAAACTTTCAGATAACCATCCAAATGTGAGTTCTCGTGTGGAGGACCAGGACCGGGCCGTTCCTGTGTGGATGCTTTTCTCCCATCTCTTTCTGGTTGTGAAAACTGTTACCTGACTCTGAAGGGAATGATGAGACCAGACAAGAGGATTACAGACAGAAGGAAGGGAGATAACAGGGAGAAGCCATGGGGAGAGAACAATTATTCTCCTTGGGCAACCTGCACGACTCTTTTTTTTTTCCCATTTTCTTTCAAACCATCAGCCTCTACCAGGGAGGAAGCAGGTCCGTGTTGTTTGAGTTGTGTGAGGGCCAGGCCTGGGCCAGCACAAGTGTATTTTGTGTCATTCCCGTCCTGGTCTCAAAATCTCTTACAGTTGTAAGGGACCCTTGAGATAAGAGGAGACAGACACATACACTTATCTAGGTGAAAGGCGTCTTATTGAAAATCTCAGTTAACCTGAACCTCAGGAGAAATCCTGCCCAAGACATCTCTCAGTCAGCACGAAGCCTCTCCTGAAAATTTCCAGGGAGGGGAAGCCCATTCCATCTTTGGGTAGCTCTAATTTAGTAGGAAGCTTTTCTTTCTGTCTTTGGTCTTGAGTGAAGTCTGTTTCTCTGCAGCCTTTCCTTTTACTCCCAGTGCTGCCCTCTGTGACCAAGCAGAACAAGTGTAATCCCTTGTCCACATCCCTGGTCCACTGCTTGAAGACGGCAATCGTCCCTTCCCTCCCCCCAAGTCTTCACTTTGGGTGAAACATCCCTACTTCCTTTAACTGATCCTTAGGACGATGGCAGGTCTAGGCTTCCCACCGTCCTGCTCGCCTCTTCTACATACCCTCCAGTATCAGTATCCATAGGATAAACACTCCAAATCACAAGAGAAATGCAAATTAAAACAACTGGGGTGGGGGGTGGCCTCATCACCTCACGAGGGAGAAAGATGATAAACGGAGGAAATAGTCAATGCTGTTGGAGCTGTGGAACCTTGTGATGGCGCCATGGATTGGGCCAGCCGTTCTGGAGAACGCTTTGGAGCGGCATACTGAACTGTTCAGAGCCTTTGACTTTGTCATCCCAAAGTATTAGGGACAGAAAGAAAAGCTCCTTATGTGTGAAAATATTCATAGTGATGCTTTTTATGGAAGCAAAAAGCTGGAAATAAAGTGACCATAAGTTGGTGTGGCTGAACAAATTGTGGTATAGGAATGTAATGGAACATTAGCATGCTGTGAGGAATTCAAAGAAACGTGAAAGCCTTGGTTCAGAACAGGCAGGGAGGAGAGCCGGGGACCAGAACGAGGCATTTGAAGATGAGAGTGCCGATGAATTACGATGATGGGATCTTTTTTTCCAGTTGCCTGGTGTTCAGAAACACTTCTTTTCTTCTTCTCTATTGATAATGGTAAGCCACAAGTGTCCCATGCTTCACCAGGTACAGTCTTCTTATCAGATGGTTTTGCTGAACAGATGTGTTTGGTAAAGAAAGATCAGTGGAAATGGGGGGCAGATTCTTGAGGTATGATTATTGTGTGAAAACAAAGATGCATCAGTAAAACTTTTTTAAAACTAACTGGCAGGAGCAGCTAGGTGGCTCAGGGGATAGAGCTCTGTCCTTGAAATCAGGAGGACCTGAGTTCAAATCCAGCCTCAGACACTTGACACTTAACTAGCTGTGTGACTTTGGGCAAATCACTTAACCATGATTGCCTAGTAACTGGGAAAACAAGCTACAGGCCAGTACAGGGCCAAAGACAGGGTCTGAGGCTCTCTCTCTCTCTCTCTCTCTCATTCTTTGGGGTCTGGTCCTGTGGCCATTTCTCCGCATCCATTGACTGTACTCTCCTGCTTCCCTGCAAGCTTATGGCGGATTTGCTCGAGAACTTGGCTGAAATCTAAGGGTCCTTTGCGAGCTGGTTCCAGAGGGGGGTGTTTTGTTGCATGCTGAGATAGCCCCGTCTTCTGTTGTGGCCCGGTTAAGCTCTCTGGTCTGATCCTCTGTTCTGGAGCCGTCCTCCTTCTCCAGGATGTTTCAGAGATCACCAGCAATGACAGCAGCCCACCCCGAGGGTCTGCCGTGTAAGGGATGTTCAATCAAAGCTCATCGGCCTCACTGGACTGACGGCCACTGCTTTACGTACTTGAGGATACAGTTCAGCCCGTTCTGGCGGCTTGATGCTGCCTGAACGTCTCTCCACTTCTCTGGTGTTTCCTGGCTCTGACCAACATTCCTTCTTTCTCCTTCCAGTTCAAAGAGTATTTTCTTTGAAAAGAGAAAACAAACCAGAGTGGAGAAGCTTCTGTGCTCTCGTTAGAGGAGCAGAGAGGCTCCTGGGGGAAGAGCATGGTCTGCTGTCTGAGAGTGGCCCTGGGGGACCTGGGGGGCTGCGTTCCCCTTTCCTTCTCATCCCTTACTCATGGCTCGGCTGCTTTGGGCCTTTTAGTCCCATCACTCAACTAAACTGGTCTCTGTGGGTCGCTCAGGACTGCTCTCCTAATGGCCCTTCCTCTTCCTCGCTTCTTTCTGGATTCTGACCCTGTTGACCACTTCCTTTTCCTAGACAGGGTGCCTTCTCTGGATTTTCATGATTCCGTGCTCTCTTGGTTCTCCTTACTGTCTGACCAGGCTTCCTGAGGCTCCTTTGCCAACCACCGTCCATGCTCTGTCCCTTTCACATGGCTGTGTGCTTGGGCGTTGTTCTGGGCCCTCCCTCCACAGCCTCTGTTTTGATGACTCATCAGTTCCCGTGGATTTGGTTCTCACCTCCATCCAGGCAGTTCCCACATTTCCATATCTAGCCCTTATCTGTCTCCTGAGCTATAATTCCATATCACCAGCCTACTGTATCTTCCTACCTGGCTGCCCTATAGATATTTCAAACTCAGTAAATTCAAAGTGGAGTTGATTATCTCAACCCCCCCCAAAAAAAAAGCACAACACTCTTGTTCCTAACTTCTCTTTGTCTGTGGAGGGTACCACCATCTTTGTGGTCACTCAGGTTCACATGCCGAGAGCGTCCTCTATTCCTGACTTTTCCTTACCCCCCACATTCATTCATTTGCCAAGTCCCATTGAACATCTCATCCTTCTCCACTTCCCTCTATTCTCAGCAACCCCCCAGGTGTAGGCCTCTGTGGACTCTCCCTCCAGCCCACCCTCCACACAGCTCCCCAGTTTATATGACGACAGTGCAAGCGTGACCCTGCCGAGTCAGCCCGGGGGGAGCGCTACCCTGCCCAGGAAGCATCACCAAGTCCCTGTTACCTGTGGGACCAAATCTGTGCTCTCTGTTTGGCATGGAAACCCTTCACAGCTTGGAACCAGCTGCCTTCTAGACTGACCTCCCTTTCCTCTCCTTCACTGTGTTCCCAGCACACTGACCTTTGCACCATTCCCTAGCGATGGCGGTCCAACTCCCAGACCTCTGCCCTCTGCCCCCTGCCCCCAGCCCCTGAAGTTACCACGTGTTTGTTTCGTGTAGATTTTGGCCACGAGTTGGCCGTGTTAGTTCCCCCACATGGAGTGTCAGCTTGTCGAGGCCAGGCTGGCACACAGGTGGGGTTTGATAAATGCTCTTGGAATTGAGTGCATCTGAGAGCCAACAGCGGAGCCGATCGTCTTAAGGAGTGGTGAGGTGTCGCCTCCTCGTCTTCCTTTGGTTATTCTCTTTCCCTTTCTGTGGCCCTCAGCATTAGCAGCTGTAACTGTAGATGGGGGGCGTCTGTCCTTTGCTTTGCTTTGCTTTCCTTTTCAATGCCCATCTTTTAAAGTCGGAGTCACTGTGTTCCCTCCACACCCAGGTCAGCGTTGGCTGCTCTGACTTTGCCTCCATCCCCAGGAGTTTGTCCTCGGGAGCTCCCCATCCCTCCCGAGCAGACTGCCCCTTTAAAATGCTCTGTTACTGGTGAGATGCTTCCTGTCCCTCCTCTGAACCTTTGGGCACCGCCCCCCCAACCCCAGTCCAGGGCTTGCATCAGAGCACGCATCACCGTCGTCGCAGAATCCCCGGTGGCGCGGCCCGGGCTCCACGTGTGCCTCGGTGGAGGTCCGGCTCCAGAGGAGCTGCCCCCGAGAACATTTCCTCCACAGGTGGCTTCCTATCCCTTCGAATCCCATTTCCGGGCCAGATTGGTGACGTGTTCCCTACACTCTTCATCTACATCCCCTGGAGGCAGGTGCCTGTCCCTGCCTGAGCTAGAACAGGGTCCTCCCTAGGTCTTCCCTCTTGCCATTTCCTTTTCTCTGCACTAGATGCTCTCCACCACACTGTCCTCGTCACTTCCCCAGAGCTCCTCCCTGGGGCACCAGCCAGTGCTTTGGCTCTGTTCCAAGAGTGTAAGCTCCCCCAGGGCAGAGAATGAAGTCTGGGTGATTTCCATGGTGGAGACTCTCCGCTGAAGAAGAAATTGGGGGCTCCAGCTCCCTCCTTTTTGGCCTATTCCTCACCTGTAGTGGGAGACATTTCTCCTCCATCTGGAAGGAAAGTTTGTTATTTAAAGGAGGAAATGGGTCTGTGGTGCTGGGCCAAGCCCTTGGCAGCAGCATCCGAATGCCCCTGTCTGCTTCTTTGTCACATCCTGTGGCATAGCTCCAAGGTTCTGTCACAGCCTTCTATCCTCTGACCTGTGAGCCAGCTTGTTCCCATCTCTTTCCTTCCTTCTTCCCTTTGAAGAACTTCTCCCATTGTCTGTCGGCCCTCCCTGCTGGGTTTTCTGCTGCCCTCCTCTACAGGCCTTGGTTTCTGGTCCTTGGGGGCCGGAGCCCAGCACCCCCACAAGGTCACACAGCCCCTGGAAAAGTAGAGTTTCCACGAGGAGGGAACCGGAGATCACCTGACTCCCCCCCCCCCCACACACACAGGGGGCTCACCCAGCAAGGTCGAAGAACAACATGGTAGCTGAATCTGAAAAAGAATCTAGTTCCTTTGGCTTCAAATCTGGTGTTGGTCTCGCCTAAAAATAGATGACACTGTCTTACCTTCAGAGATGTGCGTATTTTACGTTGGTTTAGAAGGTGCTTTAGCAGGTACTGTCTGGGCAGAGGGCAGCGATTCCTCCACTTTACAGACGAAGGAAGAGGCACAGAGAGCAGGGCCAGATGGGCCCTGAGGGTCCTCACCCAGCATACTGTGAGTGACTGACTTGGCCGTACAGAGCCCCCTGTGCTCCTCCATCCCGCCTCCTCTGGAGGCTCCTGGTAGAAGGAGGGGGTCTTGGTGGGGCTCTGGGCCCCATCCGATCCAATGTTCCTAGCCTCCCTATTGCTGCTTCTCCTTGATCTTTAGAGTTTCTGCTTTTTAGTGACCTGGAATATGTCTTTCTGACCGGACCTTGCTTTGCTTCTGGAGAACCCATGGGATGCTCACTCCTCTAGGCTCTTGCTAGGAGCGAGCTTCTGCCGGGCTTGTACAGGCCGCCCTGCCCCAGAGCCTGTGTTTGGGCAGTCAGCAGGACGCCGTCTCCTTCTCTTGTCTTCACAGATACAGCCGATGGCGTGTCACAGGAACTCATCTCTGCCGGCCTCGTGGATGGCAGAGACCTAGTCATAGGTAACTGTGTCCCGTTGTGCTTGTGCGTGCATGTCTGCCAGGAAGTCAGCACAGCCTTCACTGGGTGCTTGGGGGCAGGCCCAGACAGACCCTCTTAGGGCTGTTCATGCTAAGCCATCGTGCTATTAAATGAGTACTGCCCTGGGGGCCTATGGGAGACCACCCTGGCCAAACACTAGCAAAGTCACAGATAGAAATGAGTTTGGAAGTGTCAGGCCCATGGTGGAGGAGGCCTGACTGGAAGCCCAGATGCCATCAGCATCACAGTTCTGCAGGTGGATCAGAGCCAGCAGAGATGTGCCCTAGGGAATGGGAGGGAAAGAAGGTGGGGGCAGGCTGTCCCCCGGGCACCAGAGGCTTCTCTATCCCCCACTGTGAGCACAGTCTGGCTTTTCAGAGGCGAGGCTGAGACCCCTCCGTGTGACTGGGCACAGTTGGGGATGCTGCGGCTTTGGTACCACTCTGAGAGGGGCGTGATGAGGGTGGGCTTTGGCTGCTGACTGGTTCTGGTTCAGTGGGGAGCGTGGAACTGCTTGGCCTAACATTTTTTCTTTATGTGATTACAGTGGCAGCTAATTTGCAGAAAATTGTGGAAGAACCTCAGTCCAATCGCTCTGTCACTTTCAAACTGGTATTCCTCCCTCCCTCCCTCCTTCCTTTCCTCTTCCCTCCTCCCTCCCTCCCTCCTTTCCTCTTCCTTCCTCCCTCCCTCTTCCCTTCCTTCTCCCTCCCTCCTTTTTCCCTCCCTTCTCTCCTTCCTTTCCTCCTTCCTCCCTTTTCTATCCCTCCTCTCTCCCTCCTTCTCTCTGTATGAAGTTGTCTCGCTTTATAGCGTAGTCCCTGTAGTCCTGCAGCCACCCTCCCTAGTGGGGTTGTGAGAATACCGAGCTCCTGCAGAGGACAGGGTTTCCCTCGTGGAGGCCTCTGCTCCTTCTTCCGCAGACTGTTTCCCTGCTGCTCTCAGGGAGGAGGACCGAGTGACTCTGCAAAGCCCAGTCCCTCACCGTGGTCTCCTGAGAACCTTCCCTGGCTGCTCCATTCCCCCTCAGGTGCCCTCTTTCCCCAAACACGTGAGCCTAATGCTCTGCCCCCATCTCTCTTTAAAGGGACAGTTGCATTCGGTCCTGGTCCCCCAGCAGCCCACACCTTGGCCCAGCTTCTCTCCAGTTCCTAGGTTAATTCTCACTGCTGTCTAGAGTCCAGTGAGGTGCCCCCCCAGTACCCAGACTCTCCTCTGTTTGGTCCTCAGGCATCTGGCGTTGAAGGCTCAGATATTCCCGACGACGGCAAACTTATCGGATTTGCACAGCTCAGCATCAGCTAAGCTGCGGGCGCAGAGGAAGCTTCCCCACAGAGAACCCACTCATCATGTTTCTATCGCTCTGTTGGCCTAAAATTCACTACTGCCAAAGAACCCAGGTCTGCCCTCTCCCTGCCCCGGTCGGATCACCGCTGTCTGGCATCAGCTCACCAAAGTCGCCGTGACGCGCTCCGTTTGTAAAGCTGGTGACTGCACAAGTGGCGCCGTGCCCTGCCTCAGGCGCTCGGACGGATGCCCGTGGCTGGGCCTTCCGCTCTCTTATTGCCTTACTTGACGGATGCCATGGAGCGCGAGGCCTTGTTTCTTCCAGCCCCGTGGGGTGCCCAGCAGGGGCTGGGATTTCTTGTGGCCACACTGTAGCCGTGAGCCAGAGGATTTACCTGGGGGCTCTTTCCTTTGGTCCTGATATGACTCCTAGCAGCCAATATGAGGACGCCACAAGCACAGTTTCTGATGTCATTGGCCTGCCACGTTCCAGTTTTATCGCTCACGTTCTCGACCGCCGCACCCTCCCAGGTGGCTGCTTCCTTCAGGCTCGCCCTGGGCCCCCTGCCCAGTGTCACTTGGGGTGGGGGAGGCTGGGCAGAGTGGGGAGGACCTCTCGACCAGTTCCCAGAGACCCTCGGCTTACTTTTCCCCAGAGTGACTACAAGCAAGTCATTACTTTTGTCATTGGGAAAGTGGTGATTTTCACCACTTAAATAAATTAAAAGAAACTTCCCCTTGATCCCAACATCTTTTCTCCCGTGAGTTTGACCCTCTTAGTGGTGAGGGAAAGGGTCTGTGTGGAACAAGGCTGAGGCTTTCACAGCAATAAAGGAGAGTCGTGGTTCTCAGGCCAGCCTGGCCTGCCTCCAGCCCCTGCCCCCGCCTGCACCCAGACCTCTCCACCAACTCAGCCCTGCTTTGAGATGTGCCCAGGACAGTGAGGGTTCAGGAGGAGACAGTATTGATTTGGATTTCTACAGAAATCATATAAATGAGACACTTGTAATACAATGTGGGAGGAATCTATGGGGTTGGGTTTTTTTCTATGATTTCACAACTGGCCTTCATATCCTGCTATTGGCTGTGGGGGAGTTTTCCCTGCGATTGCTGACCCAGCCTTGCCTTTCCCTGATGGAGGGGCTGGGGGGGTGGGGGGCTGCCTCCTGCAGGTGACTAGAGACCATCCTGGCATTCAGATCACCGAGCCTTCTGATTACCAAGCTGGAGCTCTCTGTGGCCTCTGAAGGCTCCCCGGCTCAAATGATTTCTTCTAGCACGTTCCTGTGAGCCTTGGAGTTCCTTTGCCCCCTTTCATCCTTTGCCAAGTTGGGATGGGGGGTGGGGAAGGGGCAGATCTGACGAGAGTTGGAGACCCCAGCAGCAGCAGCAGTGAAAGGGAGGGACCCACGGGGGTGGGGGTGGGGGGCTGGGTGTGGATCTGGATGAGTTTGAGGTGTGGGGGAGGGCAGAGAGTGAGGTTCTTTGGTCCAAGCATGCGGTTTGGCTTCCAGCAATCCCATAGTAACCTCCTTCATCGTAAAGCGGCTGAGTGATGCTTTCTCTCTGGTTAGCTTTTTGTACGGGAGTGTGCTGGGGGAAGGCAGGAGGCCAGCCGGCCCCTGCTCCTGGTGCCCCTACGTCCCCAGGCGCCTCAAGCTGCTACAGAAATTCCATGTAGTGAGTTGAGAAGGTAGGAAGTGGGCTATTTTTGTCTTATTTTAAAAAATTGATTTTGCCCCACTGAGACCTAGGGAGACAGCTCGCAAGCCCCAGGACAGTATTATTCTTATTTTTCTTTGGGCGTGCACTCATGCCTCTGTTGATTTGTTTGTATGGTGGTGCTGAGAAACTGTGGGGTGGAAACTGCACGGGAAGACATGGGCTCCTTCCCCCGGCGCCCTCCTTCGTGGGCCCTCGGGGATCCGGGTGCCATCCCCGAGGTAGCTGGGCTGGGGGGGGTGGGGAGAGCAGCACGAGGGCATTCGTTCTGTGAGGCCCAGAATAAGTGCCAGTGCCAATCATGGGACGGAGGGTTTGTCTAACATGGCTGATGGATTTGTGGGGGGTTTTGTGGTGGTTAACTTCTGAACCCGACTTAGAGCCAGCTCCTACTCATTTAGTCACTCCTCAGAGAACTAGAACGACGCTGTAGGCATACGCGGAGGCTCCTCACACAGTTGTGTACTCTGAACGACAAAAGATGTAAAATAGTCAGCTGTTCTCTCTTTTTTTTTTGACTTTGTATTTTACTGCACGTTCCCCTCATTTTTAATCAATAAAGAACAAATTGTCTGGGGCCGTGGCTGGGGCTCTTTCTTTTTTTGGGGGGGGGGCACGGCAGTTAGGTAATGGGGTTAAGTGACTTGCCCAGGGTCACACAGCTAGTGAAGTGCTATGTGTCTGAGGCCAGATTTGAACTCGGGTCCTCCTGAATCCAGGGCCGTGCCCTGTCTACTGTGCCACCTGGCTGCCCCGGGGGCTCTTTCTTGTAGCAGAGCAGCTGCTTAAGGCAGGCGGGGAGAGGCCCAGGCGGCAGGTCTGTTTGAGCTGCTTTTCTGGCCTGTGCCCAGCGTGGTAGGGCGAGGGGAGCAGGCTCTCAGACTGGGCTGAAGGTCCCAGCTTGTGGTCATCCCCAGGGACTGCCGGGGGAGGAGGGAGTGGCTCCTTCTGTCCAGAGTCACCAGAATTCTCTCTTGCTCTGCCCTGAATGAAATGTTAATATCAGGAGCATTAGGCACTGGGTCGAGAGCTCTAAAAGACTGAACAGCAAGTGGAGTGGGCGTTCAAGACTAGTGGGGTCATGAACACCGCACCTTCTGGCTGCGAGGGAGATGAGGCCATGGGTGGGGGCCGATTTCCTGGTGAAGTGGAGGGCATAGTCTGAAGTTACGCTGGAGTCTTGAAGGCTTAGGCCACAGTCAAATTGTGCATCCTGTATCTGTTCGTCCAGACCTTCCTCTAGTCCCTCCCAAAGCCCCTGGGCAACAAATTCCCCTTATGGCTTCTTGACTGAGGCACTCGTCCCCCAACACGCATCCCAACAGGATTATGGTTACTGTATGTGGGGCTTAATGTGTCTTTGTGTGTCCAGCCCGGGGCTTTCTTGCTACCTCACTTCCCTCCATTCCAGCCTGTGTTTCATTGTACCCAGGAATCCCTTCCCTCCTCTGCCTTAGCTCAACCCCCTTGGCCCTAACCTCTGCCTCTCCCATCACTCTCCCTAGCTCCCATCCCTGGCCAGACCACTGAGGCCACCCTGGTTTTACAAGTGGGTGCTGATAAGGCTTAACCCAAGCCAGATTAAACATTAAAGGCATTCACTGTTACCAATATGACCAGACGTTCCTGGTCTGGGCCTCAGAGGGTCTAGTGGAGCAGAGCTGACAATGGCTGTTGACGTTGCCCAGGTCCTGACTGAGATCGGGGGCTTCGGGCCCTTCCAGATTTGGCTCCTTGTCCTTATGTGCATCCCCAACTTCTTAACGGCCTACTTCATGCTGGCCCAGCCCTTTGTGGTTTTGGATGAGCCCCACCACTGTGCTGCTGCTAGCCAGGTCCAGAACGATGGGCCGAACCTGACCGCTGAGGACAGGCTGAATCTCAGTGTGCCTAGGACTGAGACAGGTGATTTTGAGTCCTACCTCATGTATGCGCCACCCCCAGAAGGCTGGAGCCTTGATGACATCTACCAGTACGGCCTCAGTGACACGCAGCCTTGCCAGGAGGGCTGGGAGTTCCCGGAGAAGAATCCGCTTTCCCTGGAAAATGAGGTGGAGTCTCCTGCTGACTGCCCCTCTCTGTCTGGCGCTATCTCTACTGTCTCTGCCTCCTTGGGCTTGAGTCCCGGCCCTGCTGTTTACTCCTGGTGCCCTTGGGCAGAGCATCCTCTCTGGGTCTACTTTCCTCATCTGTAAAATGGGAGGGGGATGGACTTACGATCTAGGCTCCCTTAGGCACTCTAAATGCTATGGTTCTTGGAGTCTGTTACAGGGACATGGAAAGACCTTCCCCTGGGTTAGTTTGGGTTGGCAGTCTCACCCGAGTCATTGACACTTGTCTCTTGGGCCCTTCCTTAGGGGGAGGGGCCAGCTATGGGTCTGAACGCCTAGATCCTTGGGCTTGGGTCCAGTCTATTTGGGGGCAAAGCCCCGGCATCTCCTTCCCCTTACAGAGGAGGCATCTTATCTTGGGCTCTTCGTCCCAGCCCTTCCCCAAACTCATTGACCAACCTTAGCTCAAGCAGCAGCTGTCCCTCTCCTCCCCCAGCCTGGCTTTTCTGTCCTCGGTGGTCATTCCGTCCTGCTTTTCCGACCGTCTTTCCGCGCACTCTGCCCCAGAGCAGAGGCAGAAGCTTCCTTTCTGCTGTGACTTTGTGGGCCCCTCCTTAGGTCACAGTTAACTCTCAGTTATCCGCATGTACAGAGTCTCAGAATCGTTGCCTCAGAGGGAGAGAACTTCAGAGCTTCTTTAGTCCAGGCCTGATCTCCGAAGCAGAGACGCTGCCCCAACCCATCCCAATTCCCCCGACTTGTCTTTGCCACCGTGCTTGGGTTCCCGTTCTCATGCCTCAAGGCAGTGAGTGCAGAGAAGAGGTCCTGGGGCACAAGGAAGTAGCAAGCATTCAGAGATTAAACATTCACTAACCTACATAGGTCTAGATGATGTTGGTGTTTTGTGTCTGTCTTGAGCCTTTCTCTGCGTCTCTATGGGGAGGGGGAGGCGTCTTTTCCTCATTTCTCCAGTACGTTGTAGCCTAGCATGAGGTCAGGCACACAAGGGTTTACCATTTGAGTTGTCTTGAATTCTGTGATGGTCAGGGCCACAAGTCAGTCCAGCAAGGCAGCCTTAAACTAGTGGTGTCCCAGTGGGGATCCACCTGGAAGGACAAGGCTTCCTGGTAATCCTCAGATCAGAGATGTGGAGCTGAAAGGACCTTGAGAGTGAGTCCATCTCATCCAGATCCCCCCCAGAGGAGAACAGGACCATCGAGGTGGTGTGACTTACCAAGAAAAGCTGGCATTGACTCTAGTTGTGAATGCTTGGCCATTTCTGGGTTAAACACCCCCCTCCTGTCATCTCAGAGGTTTTCAGGATGGGATGACTCCCATACCACGATGGGTTAAGCCCCCTGAGTCCCAAGTACAGTCTCAGAGGGACCGGAATTAGCAGGTCCCCAGGACACCTTCTCTCCCCACCCCCGAGGAGGTTGTCTTTTTGTAAATTCCTCAAGCATCTACGTGCTACCGGGACCAGCCAGGCATTCAGAAGCTTCTGTAATATGCTCCCATTCTGCCTGGCTGCATCTGCTTCACACTCCCAACTCAGCCCCATTCATATTCCCACCCCTCCTTCTCTCCCTTCCCTTGACTGGACCGTGATCTTTCTACTTGTGTACTGGGGCAGCTGGGTGGCTCAGTGGGTAGAGCGCTTGTACCTGGAGTCAGGAAGGCCTAAGTTCACATATGGATGCGGTGTAACCCTGAGAAAGTCACTTACCCTCTATTTGTCTCAGGTTCCTCTACTGAGGAACTATAGGGTAGTAACAGCATTTACCTGGCAGGGTGGTTGTGAGGATCAAATGAGGTCATATTTGTAAAGTATAAGTGCTTAGCACAGTCTTTTCCACTCTGACTAGATGAGAATGTCCATGTGGCACAGGAGACCCAGCCCAAGGTCCCAATCATGCCTCATTCTTAGTTTTTAATTCCCAAGTACCAGGGACCCAGGCTGCCCTATTGGAGCTAGAGAGCACTCCAGGCCACCTTGGAGCGTGCCTGCTCTCTGTCTGAGACAAGCTGCCTCCCGGTCATTCCCCAGAGGACCTAAGTTCAAATGCCAGCCCTGACTCTGGTCACCTGGGTGACCTTGAACTGGTCATTCTATTTCCCTGGGCCTGTTTCTTAATCTGGAAAAGGAAGGGGTTAAACTGCACAGCCTCAGGCCCTGCCCGTGCTGGAGGGGGAATCCTGGCTTCTAGAGTCAGTGGTTCCTCTTTGGGGAGAAGAATGACTGTTAGTTCTCTTCCCCTGATGTAATCCAGCTCTGCCCCACAGTGGTCCCAGAAGAGCTAGCTTTTCCACTGGCTAGTATTCCAACTACTAAAATACGGCCAAAGGCATCCAGGATACAAAAGAGGCTAAGACCCTTGCAGGCAGACCAAAGGGTAGATGCATCTGGGGCAGCTGCTGTGGAGACCTGGGAAGGCAAAGTTTATCTTTCACTATACCCAGCTAAACTCGGGAGGAGGGGGAACCAGGGATTCTGCTCAAATAGAGAAAACAAAACCAGGTCAAGACTTAGCTGATGGGGAAGCCAGACAGGATTGGGGGAAAACTCTCAGCAGGATTTCTCCCATAAATGTGTTTTCATCCATTCAATAAACATTTATTAAGCACCTGCTGTGTGCCAGGCACAGCCATTAAAGGGTGATTACATCATCCCAGAACTCTTTCCTCTTCCTGCTTCTCCAAGAGGCACACGGCAGAAAAGGATGGAACCCTGGGGAGAGGATGGAGCCCTGCTGGGGCTGGAACATGGGAAGTACCAGGAGCATGGTCTGCCATGCTAGAGACTGGAGTCAGGTGCATGAAGCTGGGCATTACTGTGTAGAGATAACTGAACTCTTGGGCACTGATGTGAAGCTTTCACAGAGAAAGAAGGACCGAGGACAGAGTCTTTGGGGACGTGGTTGGGGCTGAGACCTGAAAGAGTGTCTAGATGAGTCGGAGAATAAAAAAGCAGATTCCAATTACTTTCTGTGTGCCCTTGGACAGCTCAGCCTCCCTGAGCCTCAGTTTCCCCCTCTGTAAAACAAGGGTAGAAAGGACACAGGTATGTGTTTGGAGGCAGTAGGGAAGACACCGTTGAGAGGGAGAAATCGTAATTGGTGGAGTAAGCCGCTACAAGAGATGGGGAGGGTGAGGGCAGGGGTACAAGTTGAGGGCTTGACCTTAACAAGAAGAGTCACCTCTTCATCAGGAACTAGAATGAGGGAGGAGAAAATGGAATGATTTCAGGGGGATTTCTTGGCTCTGGAGTGAGGATCCTAGCCTATAGATTGGAACTTGAGAGAATCTGCAGTCAACTCTCCAGCTATTAAAAAAAAAAAACAACCCTCAAACTGAGGTCCACAAAACCAGGAGAAGCCTCCACATGCTGACCTCTGGGGATTTCTTCACTTCATGGGGGCCCTTGGCCAGTGTCAGGTCACGAGTATGTAAGTACCTACTGTGTGCAAAAATGATCCCTCCCTCAGGGAGCTCCGAGTCTAAGAGGACAGCTCTTGGTGGCACAAGGTGTATATATGCAGGGTAAATTGGTGGACACAGATATTGGCAGGAGCAAGCTGAGGCCCTGCCCTCAGGGAGCTTGCAGTTTGGGAGGGAAAGGAAGAAGGAAATGCTCAGTCTCGGCAATAAAGCCCATTGGGGAATGCCAGTATGGTGACCATACAATATTACTTTGTAACATTTTATTGGTTGTAACTCTGACATTTGGGGAGCCCATGTAGATGTGTCTTAAGGTCTGGCTAGTTCTAATGGAGGGGCTCTAAATGCCTGCTGGTTTACACTTGCCTCATGTGGACACCCCCACCCCTAGTACCTCTAAGTACTCCCCTATCTTTCCTCACCTCTGCATTTTGAACTCCCTGGTCTCAGCTTGAACACCACCACCTCCAGTGACTTTGTAGCAAAACCACTGGGGCTAGATGACTTCTTGGCCTCCATGCTCCCTGTCAGTGATGGGGCCCAAGTGCACTGACGGATGAACAGGTGACCATATGGCCTAGAGAGTCTGTCATGAGACCAGAAGAGATCAAAGGAAAGAAATACCTCATGGTGAGATCCTGGCGAAGGAGAGATTAGTGCAACCAACAGAAATGAAGAGGCCAGTAAATGTCTAGAACCAGAAGAGATGAGGAGGAGGAGGGAGAGGCTAACAAACCATCTAAAGTGGACCAGGCAAGTGATCAAGGGAACCCAACAGAATGGATAGGCTTATTCTAAGACCAAAGGAGTGCCAGAGAAGCCCAGCTTAGGCCCACCAGAGAAGGAGAAATCAAGCAAAGGTTCTTTCAGCAAACTTGAGAGTTCTAGACTGAGCTGGCTGACCAGGGGAGCTAAGCCAGAGGCCACAGATCCCAGCGATATCTAAGTGAGCCTCATTTCCTGAGCCAAGCCAAGTTTTGTGTGTCAGAGAAGCTGCTTGGAAATAAATTTGAGTTTAAAATGAGTTACTGAATCAGATCTATTTAGAGTTGTAAGGAGCTTCACAGACCATCTTGTCCAGGCCCCTCATTTTGCAGATGGGGAAACCAGGGCCCAAGAAGGTTGAGTGACTTGCCCAAGGTCACACAGATAGCAGGCCCCAAAGATAACAGCATTTTAACCCATGTCTTCGGATTCTAGTGTCTTAAGTCCAGAATTTTAAAAAATATATATATTACCCTATTAATGCAGGCTCTGGGTTTCTTCTCTTGGCTTATGGAGTAGCAGAGTGACTACCACTTCTATTCGTAGAATTCTAGGAGTAACCCTGCAATTCTAGGAGGGAGAGTGTTTCCGAATCCTACGGTCTACGAGCCCCTACCGGTGGGCTCCCCAGTTTCACTTAAACAGTTAGCATCTTCCCAATATCAGTCAACCAATTAACATCAAATAGCATTTACAAAAAGATATATACTGAGAAGATAGAGCAAGGACCAAAGTAGAATGACATCCCGTCCACACACCCACCCAGTCTCTGGGGAGAGTGGATTCAAAGTGGTTGT